CAGGGGCACCCCAGCCATGGCATCTGCTACATTTCATATGCAGCTCAATTGTTCGTTAACTTAATTCATTAAATAACTCAATGAGTTATTGTTAAGCCAAACAGTGCATGCTAATGGTCAAATCATAAAAAATACATTAGTGTACTGGATGGTTGCTGCAGACACTGGGGTGACTTTAGGAGAGGTCTTGGAACGGATAAGGTCTAGCACACTTTGATAGACATTATATTATAATTTTACACCAACATGAAGATCATTTAAACATAACATTCTTTGACTGCCTAAGACCTTTGCACAGTCCTTACACTGTAAAACATGATGAGATCCTAACAGAAGAGCCTTTTAAATCAAAACACTATGATCCTGCTGGGAAATAGCCCTATAAGAGCATGTAGAGGAGCCAGAAGAGCAAAGCCAAGGGCTGCTTGATGACACAGTACAGCACTGTCTCAGGCACTCAATGAAAATTATGTTTAAATGTTCTTCATGTTAGTGTAAAACTGTTGCTTTGTCTATTCAAAGTTTGTTGTTTTTCAAAACCTCCTCTAAATTCACTCCAGTATTTGCAGGAACCGCCCAATACACGCGTTTATATTGACTCTGCCACTTGTTTGGCTAAGTAATGCCCCATCAAATAATTTTACTAATTAAGTTAATTAATGGTAGTTAAATTTAATAAATACATGGAATGGCTGGGGTGCCACTGAGCAAAGGTTTTGGAAGCAAAGTGATGTTCCTCTAGCCAGGCAGAAAGATATCATGATATAGGCCGTAAGATTTTTTTTTAATTGTGTTATGATTCATTTGTATATGTTCTAATGTTAAATAGTGCAAATACACACTACACACTTACTACCCAGTTAAATAGTCTTAAATATTTTCTTCGACTGCATAATACTTTTGCATAATACAGTAGGTCAGTGTTCAAATGAGGTGTTTCCAGGAATGATGTGTCTTGAATAGTGTTGGGCATTTCAGGTTCAGAAACTACAAATCCAGACCAGGATTTTGTCTCTACCAACCAGCTAAGTACTCTGTGACTGTGGCTCTTTATGCTCAACTGGTTGGTAGAAGCTAAATCTTGGTCTGGATTTGTGGTTTCTGTACCGGAAATGCCCAACACAGGTCTTGAGGTGTTGCGTGATGGTTGAGAGCGAGGGACTGGACAGATGTGGATAGGTAGCTTATTCTGCCTTGAATAGGTGCAACATTATTGCATTTCGGCTGATTTAATACCAGCTGTGCTGCTGCATTTTCAGTCATCCACAGTGGAATCATGGCATATGCTATAGATGGTAATCTAGTCGTGATATGACATATGCTTGGGCAAGGAGCTGAGCTGCATATTCTGATAGATAAGGACAGATATTGTTGATGTATCACTAAAGATGCAGTGTGGTCAGTACTGGAGTATGCACGTTCTCCCTGTCTTCTGCAGTTTGAAGACATGGAAGGTTAGGCAAATAGACAAAAAATCGACGTCTTTAAATTCACTACAGTGTGTGATTGTGCACGTGTGTGAGAGTGTTGAGTGCCATGACCTCGCATCACTTCCAGGACATACCCTGCCTTGTGCCTTGGATGGATTGATGGATGGATGCATGGATGGATGGATTGAAGGAGCAGCTTATAAGCCCACTGTTAATAGGCATGGTGTTGTAGGATATACAGAAAATGTATGAGCTCTGTCTATCGATCCATCTTCTAATCACATCAGGATGTCCATCTTTAGGCTTCTGAAGTCCTGCGCTCTACCAGCTTGAGCAATCAAAAGGGCAGATGTATGAATTTAAGAACCTATTTTCTTCCCAGCATGGTCCAAGATGCATAAAGTTATCTAGCAGTGTAGGGGATACTAAGATTGATAAATTAAAGTTGAATCCTTTTTTAAAATTAATGCTGCAAGTAGGGAGGGCAAAGAGAGATTTTACTTTTAACTTTTTTTATTACACTAAAGTTATGATTGCCAAGACCCTGAAATGGACAAGTGGTTACAGGAATTGGATGGATGGATGGATACATTTATGACATGCTTCATTGTGTCCATATTATTTTATGTACCAGCTTAATTTTTGTAGATGGACAAAAATGATTAAGTCAATGTATATTCAATGGCCATTTTATGAGGTACAAGAGTTCAGAGGAGCCATTCTGCATATCAGAGTACAGTGCTGTTATTTTTCCACTTGTGGTCTTCCTGTTAGCGATAAAAAGTCTGCCCATTCTCCTCTGACCACTGTCATTAACAAGGCGTTTTTCTGCGACGAATACCATTGACAGGATGTATTTTTTTCATGATATCAAACTGTAGTGTATGGCTGGCTCTGAGATTCTGGAACACCATGTCAGGCATCAACAGCCATACTCCATTCAAAATTGCTTAGATCGCACATCTTAGCCATTATAATGCTTAGGTAGACAGACTCTCTCTGTGCAGTCTACATGCTACATGTCTTGAATTACAGCCACATGATTCACTGTATGAAGGAGCAGACTGTTTGCGTTAACAAACACATGTATCATATAAACTTGCCTTTGAGTGAAAATCCAGCTGATTAGAAGGAAATAGCTTTCCAAAATCATATTGGCAGGTAAATGAGAACATTATGCATAAGATATGGGTAAATTAATGAATGATAAATTGGAGAAAAGTTAATTGGATCGTGGCAGTATATTTGTTGTTTATTTCTGCCAAGTGTTTCTTCACTGTTTTTATTCAGCAAAATCTCAAGCAACATTTGGTGGTGGTTTCATATTGACTGGCCAAATGGCTCTGAGGAGGGAGATTTTTTTGATTGACCCCCGTGTAGCTTCCAGTAATTTGGCTGAAGTTCTATTATACCCAATATGGCAGATCTAACATGTTTGCAATATGAAAAGATGTACAAGGACCACATGGTGAAACAGAAACCGTTTTGGAGCTCTACAGACAACTGCATTTTATTTGAATTTCTGAAAAACAACAACATTTCTGATTTGATTTGATATAGTTCCTCTGTTACCCATGTGGAAATCAGGATGTATCCCCTGAAATCCTTGACGTGCATGGTTAATTATGAAAAGTTGGCAGTAAAATTTTTTTTTTCCCAATACATTGCTCTCTTCACCAGGCTCTCTTGTCTCCTCCCTAACATGGCTTTATCAAGCCACGACTGTTATTCGTCCGTCTTACCTCTCTTAATCCTTGAGTTAATCACTCACAGTTGCCACTTGTTAGCTCCCTTATTAGTCTCATATATACATGCTTCCCAGTGCTCTGTTTCCCAGTCTAGTCTAGTCATTGATGTTGAACCTTCCTGTTGTCTGTGCCTTTCCTAATTTCTGGTCCTCCTGTTTTGATCCCTTTGTTTTGATCAGTTTGTTCCCACACTCTGTTGCACCGCCTGCCCTCGAGTCCTTTGTCCCTCAACTCGTGACACTGAGGGCTTTTTCCTGAAATATTTTACTTCAGATGGAGGTTGGCTGCTCTTTGAATATAGTAACCTTGCAGTGTGATTATTTCGTTGAGCAGCATCACCTGAGAGAAGCTGCAAGCTTTTGAAAACAATACAGTTTTAGATCATTTACAAAGTCCCAAGTTAAATGGATTTTATTTTCAGGTTTTCGTTTTAGTCTTAAGTGGATTTATTTGTATATCACTGAAAATAACAATACCATAATAATTTCTTATTTAACAATTCGATTTAATTATTTACAACTATTCTATAACAAAGAAATATTAGACTAGCAGTGCCCCGGTGGTCACATGGATTATGGGTTTGATTCCTGCCTGGAGACTATTTAAGTGTGTAGGCTTTGCATGCTCTTCCAGTATTTGCATGGAGCAGTTGGGGTTAATAGCCTTGCTCAAGTGTCCAACTGTGACATGATTAGTCTGCCAGTGACGGGCTTCAAACCCATACCCTTTGGACAGGTACACATATCCCTAACCTTTAAAGGCGGCATAAATAATATTTCCGCAGTTACCCAGGAAGTAGCAGAGTGAAATGCAAATTTTTAGAAAATTCTTATGTGATTTCTTTAAGACGGTGGGCAGGCTGCAGTCAGGTGTCGAAGCCCCATAATCAAATGAGATTAAAGGCTTTCTGATTTAATCCCTTTGCCCTCAAAGGGAAGCTTTGGGTTGGAGACCACTTCTAGCTGCAGCCAGCTCTAAGACTTGAATTTGTCTGAAATTCTGCAAAAATATTCTCCCCTTTCTTCTTGCCCCACCCCACACCACACCACCCCTCTTTATCCAGAGTACATTCTTCCCCTGACCTCTGATATCGCGTGGATCTGTTTGCACGGCTGTTAATAGTAAATCCTACAGTGATATTAGAATAAGCACGAGGCATCCATTAAGAGAGAAGTGTTTATTAATGATCCCGCAATATTAATAAATCTATTTGATGTACTAGTATTGGCTTGTATGGAGAATATCACATTATATGCTCTAAAAAGCCACGTAAAGATTAAATTGACAGTCTCTGCTCATATATTCACCATTACAGGCTTAAGCCTCAAATGCTCAAATGAATAGCATTATGAGGCAGGAGGTCATGTTTGATCTGACACCAATTTCCCCTTTAATGTGTGTGAATATGTGATTATGTTATCTGTTTGTTCATGCCTTTTTAAGCCTTTTTTACACATTTGTAAAGTTTTGCATTAATACTATATGGATTGTGTGTGTGTGTGTTTTTTAACTGGTCCCCATATCAGAAAACTCTATTTTATAAAAAAAAATCTGTGACTGCAATTAAAAAACTGAAAATGCAAAAAGTCTTGTATTTGGTTTGGTTACTTGTGGTTATGGTTAGGGCTGGGTAGGGGTTAAGGCTGTCATAGTTAGCGTTAGCATTTTTCCCATTGAAATGAATGAGCGGTCCCCATAAGGATATGTTTACCCTACATGTGCGTGTATGTGTGTGTGTGTGTGTGTGTGTGTGTGTGTGTGTGCGTGTGTATCTGTTAAGCAGTCTGTGATTAATCCCCTGTCCTTGTTGTCACCCCCGCAGCTGTTGTCAGCGCCATCCCAGTGCCAGCTCTGGAGAGTGCCCAGTACCCCGGGGTCTTGCCATCACCTTCCTGTGGCTACCCTCACCCACCGCTGTCCCTGCGACCAATGCCCTTCCCCTCTCTCACCGTGGAGCGAGGCTACACGCCAGGTACCCCTCCCCCCCCCGTCAATGGATCAGACACTGAAAAATGCCTGGAACACTGAGTACAGAAGGTTTGAGGACTGCAGAAGGAATTCATAAGTTCTATTTCTGTATAGAATTTGGCCAAAATTGTGGTGTAAGTGGAAATAATAGTAAGACATGCTCAGGTTCTTCAGAAAATGACCTGGTTGGTTTGAATGAACTGTTTGTTCTCGTAATGCAGCTTACTTGTATTACCTTCCCTCTGGTGCTGTCCACCATTGTAGTCAACATAATTTGTCTGAATATTTTACCTGTACAAGACAGAAAGTGCCTGTGGAGGCCTAAGGAAAGGTCAATCTCAGAGGGAGCTGTCTAGCATCGGCAAATAATCGGAAATCACCTATACAGCATTTTAGTGAAGTGCCATTCTTCCTCTTTGAGTAGAACTTTACTGTAAATCAAGTATTAGCAGACACTTAAATCCAAATGTCACGTTTGTTTATGCATTTATATACAGCAAGTGTATATTTGTTTAGAAAAAAATACAGTCTAACAGTAGAACTCAACAAGCACTAACATGAAGTTCTTCTGTTATCCAAAAGGAGAAATCCTGTCAATGCATCAATGTATGCTAATGGTCAAGTTAAAAAAATGCATTGGTGTACTGAATGCTTGGTGCATTTTAGGAGAGGTTTTAAAATGGCTAAGCTGACACGCTTTGCCAGATATATAGCAATTTAACACCAACAGCAATATCATTTAAGCATAATTTCCTTTGGCTGCCTAAGTGTTTTGCACAGTAGGTGGGTATTTAGTAAAGCTGTTTTGGGTAAGTATGTCGAACAATGTTATAACGGCAGTCCCACTTGGGACGTAACCCTGTGGGCAGCGTTCCAGTCATGGAGCCCATTCTTTAACCAGCACGCCACCTGCTGGCCCTACATCACAAGAGCAGCACTTGCTAGCAGAGGAGCAATAGGCAGTTTTGGGTGGGTACACAGGCTCTCTGCGGACCCACACGCCGCCGGCCCGCGTCACTGTTAGCATCCCGGTCACGTCGGGCTCCGCGTCCTGATGGCCGCGGCGTCTCACTCAGCACCCGATTAGCCATGAGTCGAGCGTGGCTGCGGCTCGGCGGGGAACACCTCCAAGGAGCTCGTCTGCATCGATTCAGTGTCATAAACGGACCAGCTAATTAGGCCTTGTTTATTAAATATAACCCAAATTGCATGTCAGCCATTTTGTCTATCGTCCTCTGTCTGTATTAATCTCCTTACCTGCTCTGATAAGTGCTCATAAATAGCCCTGATCCCAGTCTACAGCTGGCCTCTCATTAACAGACGCCCTAACTCACGGATTCTGGGAGTCAGGCCTTGTTGGCTCTTATTTCCCCTGAGGAGGTTTCATATACCTAACATTTTCCCAGATGATTGTCTGTTATTATCTTTTGTGCAAAATACAAATACATTCTTTTTTTAATAACTTGTAAAACCAGACTTAGGTGTCTAAGGTGGTGTATGAGAATAAAGCTTGAACGAGTGTGGTATATCTGAGTCTTAGGTTATAAGCTGAGAGTGCAATGGGAGTCAGAGTATGTAAGGAGTCTGTGCCCTAACAGCCTCAGCCTATCAACGCCAGTGTCCATTTCGCTTCCCCTTCCAGCGATGGCAGCCGAGGGCCCTGCCCCCCCCACCCCGCACGTCCAGCTCACCCAGCAGCCGACGGTCATCACCAACTCGCCCCCCGAGCGGGGGGCCGGAGAGGAGAACGCCAGCCGCAGCATTCCCACTGCCTGCGTGCGACCCACCCACCCGCTGCGCAGTTTCGCTGGCACGCCCCTCATGCCCCCTGCCAGTGAGTACAAACCCATATGCATCAATCATTATGTCAACCAATCAGATGCTGACAGAAGGCTAAACACTGTTGCCTCTTGGCTGTAGGGTTGGGGGTTTAAATCCCACCTCTGCTCTCTGTATCTTTATGTGGGGTTTGCAGGTCATCTCTGTGTTTCATGGGTCTCCTCCGCATACGCTGCTTTCTTCCAGCACCTCTAAATGGTCTATGATATGTTGTTTCCTTGCAATGAACCAGCAGCCCTGTCCAGGGCTCGGAATTGCTAACTGTCAGCAATTATTATTTCAGGTACCAGTTTAAGTAGGAGTAACTGCTGTAGAATTAACTCTGCCAACAATGATTGCGTCCAAATATCTCCAGATAAACACAGCAGTAGGATGTCTAAGCAGAAGTACTTCTGCTAAGACACCCTACTGCTGTTTTCAGAAAGATTTATGAGCTCTGGTGAAATTAAAAGTATCTTAAGTAGACCTCTCCTGGGCTTACCTCAAGCAAAAGCAGCAGCTTTTTAAATGAACAATTCTATATAGCTGTAGACGGCTGGAATATTAAGGGCAGTAGACTGTAAACACAAAAGATTTCTCATTTTGAGCTGACAATCCTAGGTTCCACTCAACATGTATCCACCAACCCAAAGAGAGATAAATGATTGGATTTGTGTGTACCTGAGATTATTTCAAATTTTCTATATTTACCCAAAACCATATTAACCCCCCCCCGCCCCCCCCGATAAATACAATGTATGAATAGTTCTCTATAAGTTTCTCTACGGCTGCATGACAACACTACTATAAGCAATCATAGAAGGTACCCTCCAGGCATAGAGCGGGACCGATGGCTTTATGGTTCATTGTGGCTCAGTGCGGCAACAGTGATAAGTGAAGAACACCAAGAAGCATTTAGGCACAGCGGTGGAAATGCAGCTTATAATACAGTTTTAAAGGACGGGTCCCCTGCACTACATGCATGTTACAGTTTTAATGTAATAGCCGTGTGCTATACCTACCTGTCTCTGGTGGCACTTTAAATCCACGTACAATATGCGTGTGTCACAGGTTTACGAAACATGTAAAATACCATGGTCAGAAATGAGATCCATACACACACTCACAGTGCTTGGTCAAAACACATACATCCACAATGCCAGGACATGGAGACCAGCACTTGTGGCCAAAATACAACTGGTGCAGAGCCAGTTACTTTTGGTTCAGAGCGAGATCACACAGACCTCACACAACATCACAATTAAACCGTCCATCCATCTATCCATCTATCCATTCATCCATCCAACTTCCAACCATTTATTCTGGTCAAGGTCAAGGAGGAAGGGGGGTGGTGTACATTACAGACTGTAGCAGCCAGATAGGTGAAATGAGATCCCTGTACAATACATGACTATAATAGCTTTACAGTGATATTAGTGTACAATACCTTCTTATCAGATATTTGAAGAGTCATTTGAAATATGTGTATAGCAAGTTTAAAGTGGCTTCAATGTCTAGTTCTTGATTAATTTCATGATTACAGTATGATCCTTGTATAACACGTCTGCCATGGATTCCATGTAAAATCCCTGCACAATGTGTGTCGGTGGTTGAAAGTTCGTAATCCTGGTATTAATCTTACGTCCTGCTGATGCCAATCACACGGCCATTGAAAAAGAGACAAGGCCCAAGCTCGTTGAGCTGGAAGTGTGTGCTTATCCGGGATGCTCTTCTTTATTGATCTTCTCAGTGAAGCACAGCTGCAGAAATTTATCTGACAGTCCAGTACATCAGAAAGCCGGGCTGGACCGGCTCAAGCAGCCGCTAAAAATAGGCCGCACATTAATCATCGCGCTGAATAGTTTGGTGGCCTGACAGAAGGTCTGTACAGTGGCTGTTAAACTGGTTCAACCCCATCGGATATGTTCACGTTTTTCTGTGGAATTAAAGTCAAATTCACTAGGATTTCCTCTGATTGATCAGCACAAAGTATAGTGCAATATCAAAGTGGGGAAAAAATCTAAAAAAAAAAATAGAAATGACAAAGCAGAGATGAATTCATTGTTCACTTGTATCACAAGAGACGTAAAGCTTGATCAAAGCACCTTTGGCAGTTGAACCAGCGTTACATGTAGGGACACTGGGATCTTCATGCATCCTGTGATGCCGATTTGCTGGAGCTCTGCTGCGTTTGATAAAGGGCGGTGACTTTCTCGACTGGCCACAGATTCCGCCGGACTCCAGGCTAATCCAACACACTGGCTTCTCATTTCATCTTTTAATCCATTCCTATGTGACTTTTGCGGTATTCTTTTGGCCAATGGAAGAGGGACCTTCTCCAAAGCCATTCCGTTGCAGACCTGAGGCATTTGTACCTCATACTATTTGTTTTGCTTTCAAACTCGACCAATTTTTCAGCCCCGGAAGCGCAGAAGCATCCTTTTCACATTGTACTGCTTCCCCTGAGATACAAGGTAGGAGCAGTGTTATGAGAATAACTTACAGCATTAGCCTTGCAGTAAACACTTAGCATTGAGGCCAAAGGATCCATTTTGGTCAAAAGATAAAACGTTGTCTCACTTGGCCTCCAAGTCTCCCTCGAACCTTCTGGATTCTCTGTTTTTTTAGTAACTGCTTTCTTTTTGCCTTTCCCATCCATCCCATAAAACCTGGATTCATGAACTAACCTGGTTATTGTTGCACCATGGACAGTGCCTCATCCACGAGCGTCTCAGTGACCTCTCGCACAAGTGCCGTCCTTGTACTGCTCCTCCTATACAGTTTAAGACGACGACGATTTCTACGCCGATCCGTGGCTGTGTCGTGTCCTTTCCCCCGTTATGGTTTTTTTTAAACTCACTGTCTGATTGTGAGACTCTTCCCAGACACTAATCATTCAAACTGAAACCATGTGATGTGCCTGAAGTGGCCACAGGTGAAACTCCATTTAAATAATTATGTGTCTGAAGACAGCCGTACCACATTATTTATGGTGTGCCACAGCTAAGGGGTAAAATAATCAGTACTTGCAGTTAATAATTTCTAGTTTTTATTGGCAATTAGTTTAAGAAAAAAAAACATTTTAAAAATGTTAGATATTATAAAGAAATTTATAATATACAATGAATTCCATTTTGATTTCGTGTCGCTGGATAATAAAACGGGAAGAAATTCGAAGGGTATGAGTGGATTTTATGGCCGTGAGCCAACGCCTGGGCCAGCCTGGGGGAGGTGCAGTCATGACCCTCCCATTGTGTCGTGGGGGGGGGGAGGTTCCTGTTCATCACACTCCTGCCTCATCACACCAGCTCATGCTGCCCCACCCCCACCCCACTCAGTGGCTTTATTGAACTCACCTCCTTGTGGCCGAGGAACCGTTTTTAATCTCTCCCCAATCAATAAGCCAATGGGATAACAGATCTAAAAACCAGTTTATTGTGTTGAGAAATGGTTTGATGTTTCCCCTCCTAACAACCGTTAGACCCATTTGTCCCGTGGGGGTGCTCACCTTTCCCCCCTTTCTTTGCTGGGCAAGTCTGCTTTCATTTTTGTACATTGATTTATTTTCGGCCCAATTACATCGACTGTTGATAGCGAAAATCTTTTTTTTTCTTCTGCATATTCGGGCAAGTTATTTGGGATGTTGAGAGGGCTTTCTCTGCGGAGCAAAAGAGTTAAACTCCTGGAGCAGAGTTCTCCAGACAAGCCACTGGGCAAGTGTGACGGTGACACCCAGGCACCATTTTGAACAGGTGGGCAGAGTCACCGTTCATTTTCACCTGTTTATTATATCGCCTTGCTGCAGTAAGGATTTCTCGTGGCTCAGGAGTCAGAAGATTTATTAAAAAACAAAAAAAAAAAGAAAAGAAAAAAAACTTGGGATCTTGCTCTCTGACAGCAGTATCCATAAATATATGGCAGTGTCCCAGGCTTATGGGACATTAACTGGTTAAATGTTCCTGAAAGGTAGACTTCCAGCCCTGTACTGGGTTAATTAAATGGCCTGACACTGCAAGAATATCAAGTAATATGAAGTAAAGCTTGATTTCAGGAACATTTTCCGTTTCTTTATCCATGTATGGCTCAGCACCAATCCTCTCAGGCAGTCAGAAGGACAGGCTTATCAGCCTGGTCTAGCATGCCGCTTGTTGACTCGCTCGCTCGCTCGCTCACTCACGCTCGTGCACTCGCTCGCGCCCCTCGCCGTCACCGTGACTCAGTAAATGATCAACACGCCTAGAAGCCCCCACTGCCTGTCCTCGGCCAGGAAATACCACCCCCCCCCCCCCCCCGGTCGATGATGCCATCATTCGAGCCGGCTTGGCAGACCCGCTCTTTCCTGACAGGATCAGCCTCATCCCAACAAAAGGTGTGATCCCTGCGGGGGAACTCGGTGCCAAAGACGGAGATATGGAACAATAAGCCGTGGCGATTCATTTGTGGACAGCGGAAGAGAAACCTGCGCACTGAACGATTAAATTTGGCTGGTACTGAAATAGCGGCAAACAGGAAATAAACATTATGTTGAATGGTGAAACACACTACAAAGGTGTAACAGGTACATTTTCATAATTTATCCCTTGGCCAATGCTCGGTGTCTACAGAGCGCCGAAGCAGAAAGTGATAATACTCAGTCTGTCGCCTCGTCACAAAACACTTCATTTTATCTACAATTGATTCATGCTTTGAGCGGATGCGTCTCCCTCTGATAAGACTTTTCCCCAAGAAGAAACTAAATAGCGAGCTTCGAGGCACCGTGCCGACGCTTTCTCCACATCTATATTTGTATACAGTACGTGTGTTTATGACACTCACATAATTACTCTGGCGTAGGAATGAGGAAACAGGAGTTGGTATGGCATTATTAGTGTAAGTAAACAGATCGTTTGGCCAACACTGTGTGAAAAAGTATGTCATTTTATTATTTTTTTAATCTAACCATTAAATTTGCAGTCTTTCACGTGTGATTTGTACCAGATTTAGCCATAAAACACAGTATTTTCACTACAAAATAGTGATTAAGGCTTGCATTCATGGGAAGCTTCTGGAGGTCTCGTACAGTGGATCCTGTAAGGTACGGCCTACCAAATTAAAACAAAAAAAAACATTTATTTTCCTCAACATTTTGCTAAGTTTAACAAAAATATTTATTAAATTAAATGCTCTTTGGTTATTGTATTACTGTGGATGATAACTGGCCATAGTCCATTGTTTACCGCTGCTGTTTAATATTGATCAGCTTAGGGGATTACTCACATAATCTGCTTTGTATAAATTTTGCTAGTTTCAACAGGCATTTAGATTAAGTCGAATCCCATCTACTGCATATTTCATATACTTTCACATGCTGCAGGTTCCAGTCTAGAAGCACATAGTTGTTCAAAATCTACTTCAAACTGTAGAAATTTGATTAAATAATCATTGCAAGTTAAATAGCCTTGAAAATAGTTTACATATCCCATTCTACAGAAAGTTTTAAATGGGGAAGTTATTTTTTTTAACAGGTGCAGGTAGCACAGGCTATATATATGCATGCGTGTGTCTCCATGCATGCAAAGAAGACCCATGTTTAAAGATAGAACAGTACTGTTAATCTGAGAGCATTATTTAAATCGGCGTGCTTTCATTTCGTTTTATGGTTTTAAAATCAAAAGAGAAAGAACCTTCATGTAAAATAATTTGTATTAATCCGTAATCATTTAGCAGAATAAAGATGGTAAATTACACTGATTAATCCCAATTCTGCGGCAGAAGAAAGCTCTCTTTTCCCATTCACTCTCATAGGTAGTGTAAGAGCGATCCTGACTGTGAGCAAAATAACCAGCCTTTAGTCCACAAAGGGCTTCTACCTGCTACACGCAGAAACATGATCAGAGGCTTATTTGAAAACTGGTAGACCAATTACTGCCCTTCTGTGAATGGAAAAGGCAGCATAGATGCTATTTTACGCATCTGTTATTCCAGACCACATACTGTGCCTCATTATACTCTACATAACCTGAGAAACACAGATTAGGATGATTCTTTCCACAGGGGTGAAGCGGAACAGTTCCGTTTAAATATTTTGTGCTTTTTTTAGCATTTACGGTTTATTGTTTTTTGATGGATTTTAATTGTCTGTAAGTGTGCACATGAGTGCCCTGCGATGGATCCAGGGTGTGCCCCCAGCTTTGTGATAGCCTCTTGCACCCCCCCTCCCCCCCCACGACTCTGATGTGACCTGGATGAGTCTGCAGGAGGAAACTGGATTATCCAGAAGAAAGTGACACAGGGAGAACATGCAAACTCTATAGACAGTGTGGGGGCAATAATGATAATGAAAATGAATCAGAGATTAACTGGTGTTTAGTTCTGCCTTGCTGTAGGGAAAAGGTACACTTTCACACTTAAATGTTGGATTGTGTATCTTGGAATTAAGGAGAAAATAAAAATGTGAACAAGGAATAGTAGTTAAGGAGCTAGGCCTGTTCCTCTGTAAGGTTAATTGATACATGCAGTAATGCTTGCAGTTGCCAGTCTAGATACTATATCATGACTGCATTTTCATGAGCTTGCAGTTGCCAATCTACGTACTATATCATAACTGCATTCAGATGGACTTGCAGTTGCCAATCTGTGTACTACATCATGACTGTGTTTACATGTCCTTTCAGTTCCCAGTCTGTGTACTACATCATGACTGTGTTTGCCTGTGTTTGCAGGTGCCAGTCTGCCCAAAGCACAGGTGAAGACGGCATCTCTGGGGCAGGCTGGAAAAGCAAGGTCCCCCCTTCTGCCTGTGTCTGTGCCCACCGCTCCGGAGGTGGTCGAGGAGGGGCAGAAACCACCAGAGGACCCGGCCAGTGTAAGTGGACCTAGTCTCCATGGCAACCGCCCAGGCCACATACCAGAGCAAGACCCGGCAGCAGGGGGTGCTGGTTTAGCCTGTGTACCGTGGAAGAGCAAATGTTAGTATTAAGCAGGGTAATGAGGCACAATGGGAGCCCCGGTTGTCTTCTGGGACACCTAATTAATCTTCTGAATCAGAGCAGAGCGTGCTTAGTGCCAGGGTGCGTTCCTCAGGATCTCTCAACGCTGTCGTCACTTCTGACTCCCTGCGAGGTACCAACGGCAAGGAGGTGCCACTGAGCAGGAGGAGGGACGTTCATATGCAGGGTGTGAGTCTCAGAGGAGCGGGAAGCTGGGTTTTCTCATGGAAGTTTCTGGTACTGAGTCTGCTTTGTATGATAAGCACTTGGGTTTAATTACGGCAGGTCCACAGGATTTAATACTGAGAAGTGCAGTCCAAAACTGTCACTTCAAAACATCGCATCTCATCAAGTTTGTAAATGAGACAAAATGCAATTCATAAGCATTTAATATCCAAAAGGGGACCTCCCTTGATAGCCTCCTAATTATAGCGCTTGCTGGGGTGTGATGAGTCGCTTTGGCGGGTTATAAAGCCGGAGCTACGAAACGTATGACATTGATGAAGTCCGCCGCACATTAGCGCATCAATACCGGTGATGTGTGGCACAGCGCGCCGCGAGTGTTTGGAGAGATGCATTAGGCAGCGCTCAGGCACCGAGATAATGGGAAAAACTGGGAGGCAGTGTGGAGATGCAAAGGTCAGGTTGCTCCTATCCATCTCTCATATCTCTATAATTGATCTGGCCTTTTCCCATCAGGCAGGAACTCAGGGAGTCTCCCCGAGTAAATAAGCTACCTCCATCAACGGGCTCAGAGTCATCTTTATGTCAGGTGTGGGTCCCCCTGCCCCCCCCCAGTGCATGTGTGGCCGACCCTCTCTCTGCACCTGTGTCCTTTTGGATGCTGGTGTGCCCTTTGATGGCGGGTGTGTCTCTAGGTCATCCTCCCTCCCATACCTGATGTCAGTACTCCAAGCCCTATGCCCGCCATCTGTCTGATCGTGCCCCCTCCCCATTAAATGTGGTGGTCTGATTAGCAGAACCTTATTTCTGTACAGTAATATCGTGGGACTGTTTATCTGTATACTGTAGCGTGTCTGACAGAAATACTTCCTAACTGTAAGAAATATTTATATCTGTCAGGCGTCGTATAAGGGTACGTCAAACAATGAACGATTGCTGAATATTAGCTGTCCGTATGGCCATTATGTGTGACATGCTGTAATGGGATTAAGTGCTGATTTTAACCCTGGAAAGGTCACCCAACTGACTGAGTGCAGTGGGTAAGTCACGTGGCCAGTCCGTCATCTGGTCAAGTGGTCACCCGCTCAGTTAATCACTCTGTCAGTTAGTCATGGTCCATTTGATCATCGATCGCCGCTGCTGTAGGCAGTCGGGATGCTGGTAGCTATGGCGGAAAACCGACAAATAAAGTCTCTTGCCCTTTCCCTCTCAAAACAACTGATTGGTGACTGCTGATGCAGATCGCTGGGAAGAGAAATGCAGAATTGATTTTTTTTTTTTTTTTTTTAGAAGAATGTGGATGTAAATTTCGGTTGATCTCTGTGTGTCGATTCCATTTTAAATTCACATTTCTACTAGGTTTGATTTTTTTTTCCTTTTTCGTTTTTAATAAAATTCTAGCTTTTCTGTTCGTCTCTGTGCTGAGTTGTGTAAATGCCTACGTTCGAAATGGTCCCGGACTTTGATGCTCATCACTGTGCATTGCTTCCTCCAGGTGTACGAGCAAGACGACTTGAGCGAGCAAATGGCAAGCCTGGAAGGACTGATGAAGCAGCTGAACGCCATCACCGGCTCTGCTTTCTAACCTGGGCCGGCCGGGCAGGGCTCTGGGTCAGGGCCACCCATGACCCTCGTCACCCCTGTGACTCTGTGACCCTTGAGTATATGGGGGACATTGGCCCTGTGTCACTATCCCAGGAACAGTTCTGAAGGTGCCTGGACCCAACCCAAGCAACCGTGTCAACTGGACTTCCTTCCACCTCAACACTATTTATTTGCGTCATCCCGTGGAGCACAGGGCTGTCAGGCACCTCAGGCTGCTGTCCACACTGCTGCTCTCAATGCTTCTTGGAGCCCCCCGACTGGAGCGCTGACTTATCACCTCCCATAGAAGGTCAACCCATCATTCCTGGTCACATCTGCTAAACAGTTCTGAAACAAACCCTCTTCTCCCCCAGCCTAAAAAAAACATGGCTGTAACCCCCGAGGGGCCACGGGCTGGTTCTGTCTGTCTGGGTCTGATCTGGCTTTCATTCCCTTCAAGCAGTGACATCGTCTCGGCCCGAACGGGTCTCATTCAGCAGAGCCTGAGGGAAGGACCAGATGTAGGACAACCATTGCTGGATTTTGCTTGGAGAAAAAAAGCGTTTTGATTTGCAGTGTCCAGGCAGTAACAGAGATGTTTGCAGACCTTTTCAGGGGGGCAGGCTGAAGCATAGCTCAGTGTGGGCCTTTGGTCTGATGTGTGTCATTCCCTGCGAGGATCCCTCATGTAAGGTGACACCCTGTCTGCTGCGTCTGGCTGATGGTGAACCTGCAGCAGCACAGCTGAAATGAACAGTGGCCAAAATAGACCATTATTTTCTTTTATTGTTGTGACATACATGATGACCTCCTCACATTAGAGTAACAGTATTTCCAATAGGTTCTCGCTGCAGGTGCACAAGATATATATATATAAGCAATTATTTTGTTTTCTTGTGGAAAAAAAAACATGAAAAAACGGTGACCCTCAACCTTTACATTCAAGCAACATTACAGTATTGTCTCCTGTACTGCATGGAGATGCCAGAAGGTTCTCTGTTAGATCTATCCCGGTCCACTGGGCTTTAATCCATGTAGGAAGACACATCCAATCTTTGTAGATGACTTGTTCCCTCATTGGCATTCCATCACCATTATTGTGCGAAACAATTATAGGAAAATTACATAGGGGGCTTTTTCAGCGTATTACCCTACACTGTTAACGGTTATCTGGTACTCTGAAGTGTGCCGTGTTCGGCAGCGGTGCATTTTTGCGGTGGCATGGAGATGATAAATGTTTACGCCAAAGTTGTGCCATAACAATTGCTTCTGTTATCATGGACCCTGCGTTTTGTACAGAGCTGAGCAGTGCCTGGATGTATGACGGGTACCTGCAGTACTGGGCCTTTTCATAATTTAATTGATGTGTGTCGCATTTTAATACATAAATTCTTCCCTTGGAGTGGCGATACAGTGTTAGCAGGCATTTTCCCCCCAATGTACATTTTAATTAAAACGTACGTTTGTTTCACATTTCCATAAATTCATTATTCAATGCCCTTATTTTAAGATCAAATTTTGTTTGCTAATCAGATCATAGCTGCTAATCAAATAATCCAATTTGACTTCTACCCTTTTACAAGAAATCGGTGTTTACGGAAGGCGTTTCATCTAGCGTGTCTTTCTGTGAGGGTCTAACAGCTTAATCCTTCATGGAATTAGAACCTTCCAGAAACTCACAGGTTTCCTTAAACACTGTGCCATGTGTCCTTGTGGTTCCACTAGGATGGCCCGAGTCCACTGAAAGGGCCGTGAAGTCAGGAGAAAACTTACAATACAATAACATTCGGCAATGCTTTACATTAACTTCACCTTCATAATGCCTTTATAATGCATTTGTAGAACATTCAGAGCACCTTCATAATGCATTCATAGAACATTCATAAGTAGCATGTAAATAAACTTCAACATCCTACCATAACAGCTTTAATTTGCATTAATAACAAATATTATACACGATTATAATGTTTGTTATTAATGAATATAACAGCTGGCACATCTGTTCATTGGAAGTATTATGAATGCAGACCTTGAGGACTTGTTAAGGTATCCTTACGTGCTGCTTATGAATGTTATGCAAATGCATTTTGAAAGTCCAATGTCTGTCCTATGAGTGCATAGTAAATGCATCATGAAGGTCCAGTTAATATAAAACATTACCTAATGTCCTGTGTCCATTTGGGCTTCACACCCGTGTAGAGCTGATACTCAAGTCTCTGCTATATCTCTACTTGTTATGACTGTCCATCACTGTTGGACACAGGCAAATATAGATCAGATTACTCTCATGCTCTGCCCCCTTCCTGTTGTACTGTCACGTTACTAAAACCCACATCAACTTCGGTTCTAGAAACGATCAGATTAACGATCAGCTGGGAAGCAAGAGAAATCAACTTAGAGGAAAAATAGAGGTTGTTCAGAATTATTTTAGAATGACTTTCAAATGACTTTATGGGATTTTAGTATTGTGGTGCAATTAAGGTAGTAATATTCTGCACATAATTGCTCACTATTTTGTTATGTATACTTGGCTAGCTAGCCATCATGGTAGGCTATGGAGTACCATCTAAACGGTGACATCATCACCCAAAATGATGGGTATTCATAATCATGGCCGTTGATGGGAGGTAGGAATTGCAATGCCCAGGAACACGTAGTGTTTTCTGAAGTCTAAACTATACCCAAAGCCCTTCAGGACTGCTGGAATGCTAACAATGATGTCTGTCCTGTGTGTCCATAACAACATGTGCCGGAAGTATGCAGATGATTGGTTAAGTAAACAGGAGATACACATTTGCCTGGCCATCACTGTTATGAAAAAGAAACACAGAGTAGCAAACACTGCCTTTTTCTTTTAAGGTTGTAGGCCTGGAAATGATGCATCAGGTTGGAAGCACACAGCCCCACTTAAGTCATTCATGTTGCTTTCACGCTTTTAGTCTTGCAAAATATTCTTGCTGTATATTTCATTTCAGCCCAGGAAAGGTGAGCTTCACCCATTTCGTAATATCCGCCAGACCAAAGTGAGTGGCTTGTATGACTTCTACAAAGTCGTGTTTTCCTGTCTATACCAACACTGCATACAGATGCACTTCGTATTAATGTGACGGATTGCTGGTGTGCACGAGACGGCGCATCTCACTGCCAGCAGGGGGAGTCAGACAAGAAGATCAGCTTCTTAAGGGATGCTGATCATCAATGGAGCATCACCACTAGTGCTTATTATTAACTTATAAGTGCAATGCTGTATCCCTGTGCTTATTGTATACTGTATTTTGCATACTGTATCAAAAGTTAAACAACCTCAAAACTATATATTTCAAACAAACGTACATAACAAACACGCGCCATTTATCAAAGAACATTCAAATGAAGATAAAACTGTGGATAAAGTCAGTTTGAGCCCATATTCCAACTCTCGCTGCTGAGCATGTGCACATGGTGAGAGCCAACCAGAGCCCAGCAGAGGAGTACCTAGTGACATCACAGAGCATCACTCCGATTGGTGGGCAGGACTCACCAGCAGCCAATAAGATCAGATTATTGACAAAACCTCTGGATACCCTCTTCATAATCCCAACAAAAGCCTGTCTGGGCTTTGATGCGACAGAACAACATTTCAGAAACCAGCAGTGTGGGGAAAGAGCTAAGGAAACATTTTGAACATATGAAATTATTCTTAAATTGTCAAGTTCTAGCATTGTTGAGAAAATTAGATTAGTCCTTACAATATTTAAGTGTACATTTTGTGTTCTTCTGAGGAGGAGTGAAAAAGAGAAATACTGTAAAAAGGTTAAAAAAAGGAAAAAAAAAAGCACTGGCTGTTTCTACACAATCTTGTATACAACTGCTGGTTTTGTAATGCCCTGTAGAACAGCCCAGCCCTGTTCCTTTTTATGTGAGTTTGATTTCCATGGTGCATCTTTTTGATAAATAAAGTTTTTGATACAAAATGGTGCTGTGTGGTAATATATATGCTGCACATGGTTCTTCATGGGGAATCTCAGTCATCTCTCAAGGGTATAGCATCCTGTTGGCTGGGTCATCACCGCTGATGAATGCAGATTAATTCAGACATTTCCATATCAACCTCTCTCCTGTGAGAGAAGTAATTTAAATTTATGTTAAATGTCATCAACAGGCCACTGTATGCTGGACCACAAAAACAACACTTAAATATTTATTTACTAGTTAATGTCTGATTTAATTAAATAATGTACTTCTTCTGAATTAGGTCTCGTTTTGAGGTGGAGTAAGTGAAGATTGTTAAAAACAATTACTTTGTAACTTATGTCCTGGGACCATGGTAAAATGCAGAAGAACTGATTTTGACAGAAAAAAAATCCAACACTGCCAGTAATAAATTAGTTCTATTAATGCCAAGTTGCTTAATAGTGCAGGTATATAAGGAATAAATGCATCTTTTTGAGAACAACAGCTGCCCTGTGCTTTGAGTCTAATAAGAGTTCAGATAATCTGATCTTCAACACACAGGAATGGCCAACTGGCAATCGAAATCCACTAATGTAAGTGCCATGAGAACAGCTAATAATGTCATGTGTTCTGCTACGACATTAGTGACCAACTAATGGATTGGGCAATAGTACCAAATACGAACCTGGTTCTATAGCTATGGAGATAAAAAAAAAATCTATTCTATTCTATTCTATTCTATTGTTTCAGCATGCATTTTAGTTATGGATGATTAGGGATTATTGCCTTAGAGTTATCCTTACTCCTGTAATCTTAATACTATGGGACTTTTTATGCACAGTCAGTACAGGCCAACCAATGATGTCATACTGACTTTGAACCTACAACCTTCTGCCATTTTTTTTAACCAAAGTCAATAAAATCATACTGTGCCTAGTTTGATTTGGCTTGAAGCATTAAATTAAGGGCTGTGCTCTTTGCTGTACTCCTAACTATACCTTTCAGCATCTAATGGGTGTCCAAGGCATTTTTCTCAACCAGCTTGAGAGTTTTAACTAATGATTGAAGAGCAGCCAATTCCTAAAGCCGGGTCTGGCAGTTTTATTGACTGGAGGCTTTCGGTGTAATAGCCTTCACGGCTTCCTGTCTCCTCGTCTCCATTACAGTCACCCTCGATATTATGCAGTGGTCTGCCTTCCTCGTTCTTGCTGAGCGCCGTCTAATGGAAGGCGCTGGAAATGGTGGCGATGAAGGGCTTCATGCACACCGCTCTGCCGAAGACGCCTGATTAATTCGAACGGGATCTCGACACACCAGCTGATGACTTGGGTAAGATGAGCTCCGGCATACCAAGGGCTGACAGACCCTAACTTTAACTCTTCGCCTGCACTGGTAGTGAGATATTTGACTCGACTCGCGAGGCTTTCCGTCTGCAGTGATAACTAACCACACTTTCACTGCAGCTTGACATTTGTGACATATGAGCAGCTGGAAGGCTTTTATCTATAAAGACTAAAGAAATATTAGCTGGCTTATGCACCTTCGGAAGCACCGAATCACAAGGAAAATGCATTCGAGTGTCCAGATAACATTAGTTCAGAAACCAGTATGAAACTCCCAGCACCAGCAGTGTCCTCATTAATTACGAAATGCATTAGTGCATGCAGCACTGACAGGTTCCCTGCCTGAATGTAACGTATCGACGTTTTACCATACAAGGTGCAAAGCCGATAGTCATCTGGTGAAAAACAGGGGTCTTATTGGATATTAGGAGACAGGTTGTAACCCGCATGCAAAGCACGTTTGACTGTCATAATCATCATATGAGCTCAAAACGCAAGCGGCTTAAACCCGAAAAGGCAGAACTCAAAATCTCCTTCCATTATATTTGCATATTTTTGTGGGATTTCCATTTTTCAAACCTACAGTATCATAGGAAACACAGGACAGGAGGCATGGGGTGTCAATCCAACACGGAACACAAACTACCACACGCTTACGCACCTATAACACATTTTTTTTAAATAACTTCAAAATAATTATATTGTGATGAGTCATTCACTATGTAAATACCCCACCACCATGAATGAATATACATGTGTACAGAGGATTTAAACATTTATACTTTGTGTTAGCCTATATGAATGCAAACGTCATTCAGCACACAGTGGATTTTGAGTCATTTCTAAAAACCTAATCTTACCTCTTTTTCTAATTATGTTTATTGTGATTAAATAATGACTGAACCTATTTATCCTGATTTTAATTCCTCTAAATGTGCAATGCTCAGATTGCATACCATTAGATTTAATATCACTCATATTATTAGCATCAGGAATTTACATCCCAGTGAATACTAAAGGAAAGAAGCGTATCTGTTTTCCCACTGCTGGGCCTTATCCAGTCAAAGGCACCAGTGTGATTAATCAGATTTGGCGTGATTCCCAGAATGACGGTTTACAGCCTACAGAAGCTATAAGGCAATTTCATCCGATTTGTTACAGCGGTGAGTGTCTGACTACTCCACCCAAGTGTGAAGAATTAAAGATACATTTTCAAATAGAAATGAGATACGCCTTTCGCTAATTAAAGCGACGGTTTTAATTCACAATGGCAAATCTAATTTCCGACCACCCACAATCCCTCTGATGAATGCAGAAGGCCATCACCGGATGTCAGCAGACTGTGGAAGTGTGCCTACGGGCTGAATTTGTTATGACTATCACATACTGCAACCCACGAGGTCACATGTGAGGAAGCATTAACCATGGTTACACTGTAATCAGTATTATGCTTAATTACTATTATTATTCTACTATGGAGCATCATAGTACGCGGTGGGCTGAATTGTCTGAGGTTACCATCTGGCCGTATTCGAGGTTGTTTGTTCTTTGGTTCATATTGATTTAATCTGGTTTTACTAGTTTCCTCCCACAATCCAACAACCTGCATTTTCAGCTGAATTGTTGCTTTCAACTGGCTCTTAGTGAAAGTATGTGTGCCGTGACCCTTGATGGATCAACAAGTTCTTCCCTGCTATTCATCCACGGTTTGTATATCATGACCCTAACTGGATATGTAATTAGCAATAAAAAAAAAACCCGGTAATTTTCTGGTGGTTCAGGGGTCAGCACTGTTGCCTCCCACCTCTTGGATCAGGGTTCGAGTCTCTGCTACGGCTCCATGTGTGTGGAGTTTGCATGTTATCTCTGTTTCATCATGAGCTTTCCTCCATGTTCTCTGGTTCCCCCCACGGTCCAAAAACATGCTGAGGTGAGCCAGAGCTGCCAAATTGTTTGTGTCACCCTGTGACGGGTTTGTGCCCCATTCTGGGTTGTTTCCTGCCTTGTGTCTATAGGCTCCAGTCCCCCATGACTCTGCTTAGGACAGATGGGTACAGAGGATGGATTCTGATTATTTGCATTATTTAATGCAGTGTTTCCCAATCCATTCCTCACGGGACCCCGGACAATCTACGTTTTTTGCTTCCTCTCAACTCGCAGCCAATCAGGAACACCGAATACCTGCTACAGGTCCGCCGGGAGCTGAGAGGAAGCAAAAACGTGAACTGTCCGGCGTTCCCCGAGGAGTGGGTTGGGAAACACTTACACTCTAATGCACTTACAGTTTACAACAGATTTAATGGCAGGTGGTTCTGCAGGCAGGAACAAAACAAAAAACAATATTCCAGAGTCAAAAGAACTTACCAACACAAAAGGACGGAATAAATAAATAAATTTAAAGAAAACTTAAAACACAGCAAGCAAAACAGAGGCCTGCTCAATCTCCATGGTAACACAGGCAATGACCCCCAAATGTAGGCCTGTACAGTTGCTCTACCTCCCGTTAGCTGCAATTAAGCCAAACCTGCAAACCAAGCCGCCTTCGGCTGACCAGGGCTCCCCTCTGCACGGGAGCAATTCATGTTAAGTACCTCGCTCAAGGGTAGTATAAATGGCCCCCTTCAGTGATTTAATGCAGCAGCCTCTGGATTCATGTATAACCACCTCACAGCCCCCTGCTCAGCTCTGAATCACCAGCTTCATTGTGTGCGAACCCCACGCAGAAGGTATCTCCCACGTCTTTGTTTCTTTCCTCACAGAAGAGTAGGCACGAGCTGTGTACTGTATATGAATCAGCAGCAAAACTTTACGATTTATTAAATGCCATGCTTTCACTGACTGGAAAAAAAAAACCATGAGAGAACTTGTGTTTTTCAGCAGACACTTTTACCCAAAGCCACATACAGGGTCAGACAGTCTTAGGAGCAATTGGGAGTTGAAGGCCTCGCTCAAGGGCCCAACAGCGGAATCACTCAGCTCACTCCAGAATTTCCATTGGTGACCTTCCAATCACAGACGCAGCATCCTAACCCACAGAGCTATTCGCCGTCTCCGGAGAAGGAAAGAAACGGCAAATGTTTTGCTATATCTCTAGCGGTCTCTCATTATGGGATTATGTAAGGTTTTTATGTGCACTGAGACAAAAATTAAAAGGCCTATTTGGTATGATAATAGCTTAGTAGGGGCAGGTTAAGGTTGTTAAACTATAAGAATCTTTTCTCCTTTTTCACCCAAATTGGTAATTAATCCCAGTGCATTCCTAACGATCACGCGCGTCATCTGGAGCGTCCGCTGCCCCCTAGCCCCTGCCGCACGTGTTGCGGGCTGCCATCACGTAGCTCTTCATGCAGTTAACTGGACTCCACCTGTGGCTTAAGACGATTTTCCAGTGGTGGGTGAAACTGCAGGACTGTGGGTGGAGGGACGAGAGCCCCCAAAAAGTGAATAAGTGCGTGTTCGTTCCCCAGGCCTCTTCCACACAGATGGCTGCAGAATGTAGGACAACTGAGCCACCAATCAGGATCCATCCCCCTGCCCCCCAAGGCTTTTAATAATAAACCACACACAGAACATGTGTTGATATGCAAAAGTGGCAACTCTGATAAATCCCAACTCAGAAAGGTGTCAAAATTAGATCGGCATTTCTTGACTGGAGTGAGCAGAGGTGTTTAGCTCTGCCACAGCAATTCGCAATGTGATGCAAATCGTACTGACATGTCTTTGTTTACTTCAGGATTTTTTATTAATGTTTTTTTTTAACAAAACACTTATAGAAGTTGATATCCCTTGTAGGTGTAGCACTGCATTTCATTGAGGCTAGCAGGGCATCTTAAGAATTTTTGCTATTTTGCTGGCTAACCACTGAAAAGCAGGCTGCTGTTTTTGTGAGCTAATATAGCTCTCTATGCCATTCATGCCCCCGTTAGGATTAAAGGCGTCCTGGAGGATGCCTCCCACCCTCTCGCAGTCTCTCTGCCCCCCTTCCATCTGGCAGAAGGTACCAAAGCGACTGAGCTGGTCCTGCCAGGCTCTCTGACAGCTACTTCCACATGGCCGTCCAGATTTAGTGCTCTTGGCTGCCCACCTTCCCACAGATCTGAACGTCACACTAACTCTGCCGACCACCAGCACAGTCACTTTGTCACCATTTGCACGGTTAATGCTCTGTTACCAGGACTCATTAATCTTTGATATTTACTTATCTATTATTTACATCTACATACCTCTCTGCTTCTTCATTCATTGCCGTTCTAAACATTCCATCATTGTTTACTTTTACATTTTGTGTCAGTGTGACCCCCCCCAGCCCCAACACTTATCCCATCTATCATGCATTTTATGTATACATGTAGCGCCGTGGCCCAGGGATCGTTAATTTCGTGTCACCATATGCTTTGTACTGAATATGGCCCATGTGAAAATAAAGCCTCCCTTGACTTGACTGAATCCTGCCCGCACCTGAAGCCCATACGAACATTGCCGGGCTCTCTGGCTCTGCGGAGAGGATTGTTGTGTCTTATAAACATGGAGATTTTCCTCAGCAAATATTTTGCACACCTGTATATGCCCTAAATTAGCATAGTGGATGTTGGGGATATGAAGTGTTGTAAGTGTGACCACACGTTTTTTTTTTTTCTCTTGAAATTCTTTGTCTGCAAGTTTTCTTTACTTTTTTAAGTAGGTGATTATGACAACATCACAAAAAGACGGGATAAGTGGACAAATAATTTGATAAAACGTTTACATGGTATGTTTTTGTGTCTTCCTGCCAAGTCAACAGACCTCCCTAATTAAAGTTATTTCACACATGGAAAAACACTGGTGTTTTCATCACAAAAACATATTTTTGATGAATGGTTGTGTTTAAATAGCCTGCTTTACACATTTCAGATGTGTATTGGGGCAGCACAAAATGTAATTGTCTTTTGTAACAGAAGTCATAGCAATGTTCTTATATATGTTTGGTTTCCTGATGCACATTGAGGTAGGATGAGGTCAGTTAAGCATAAATCAGTCAAAGGAGTCCCTGTAGTGTAACAAGAACCTTAGAGAAGGTCTTGAAGTACATATTCAACACATCCTTACTGAAGTGTTTTCTTCTTTTAAAACACGAAATATCACCAAAATTTTCTTTGCACATATCAAGGGCTATATGTACAGATTCCCAATCCCTCTGGAGCCAGAATTCTCTGTTTTCACATAATATCACGGAAAGTAAACAGAAAAAAATTCTGTATTTCATATTGTCAATTTATTAATTTCTACTTTATAAAGAAGAAAAATCTTACATGCTTTCTGTAATGTGATTACCTTCTCTAATAAAAAGGACTGCCAAGCAACATAATCTAATGCCAATTTGTCCACCCAGCCCTGAGCCCTTTCCAAACCTCTATGTAATATTCTCTCCACATCACTACGACCCAATTTTCAGAAGTATACTTAAAGTAAATGGGTGGCACAGAGGCCTCATAGCACTGGGACTGGGGGCTTTAGTCCTGCCCCCGCTATGTCATTGGGGCTAACATGTGCACCTCATGTTGTGCTTGTCCCCTCAGGGCACTCAGCTTTTAAACCGCAGCATGAAAATACAGCTATGCCAATCAGCGTCTCTAAATTGCCCCCAGTGCATGTGATGGGGGGGCAAAAGTGTGTGCCCTGTGACAGGCTGGCACTTTGTCCAGGGTGGCCTCTGCATTGTGCCCTGTGCTGCCAAAGACAGGGTCATTGTAAGCCTGTGCTGGATGAATGGATGGATGGATGGATGTGCACAGGGCTGGACTGGCCATTTGGCTGGTGACCACCCCAAACTACCACATAAAGTATATGCCTATATAGTCAATATAAATAATACAGCATTTGGCATCCACACATACTCACAATAAAATCCGTAAATACATTTAACAAAGTAAATGAATGTCATGATTTATAAATTTTTCAAATTCTAACTCATATTCCAGATTTCTCCCACAATCCAAAGACCTGCAGTTGGATCAGTGTCTCTCACCCATAGAGTGTCTTCCCTGTGATGGACAGGTATCCTATCCAGGCTGTTTGCCTGCCGTACTGTAGCTCTGCCGTGATCCCCAAACCCACTAGAATCCCATACTAGATCAGCGGGTATAAGATGGATGGATGGATGCCTTCCTGGATGTAGTACCTATACTAACCAAGGTGTAAGTATGGGAAGTGTTGGATTTATCTCGTAATAGATGTATATATTTATTTTACAAGAAATGGCTTTTCTTGTCTTGCCCTTTTTTTAAGTTTCAGATTCTTTCAACTGACACTAGAAGTTGTATCTTCAAATTGTATAGTTTCTTATTTTTCATCTTGTGACGAAATGTTTTGACAAAAACAGGGGAAACATTGTGTCCCAGTAGACCTCCAACTCGTTTTAGAAGAAGATTAGATTTGTTTATTAAACAAAACAAAAAAAAATCAGACAAGCCTTTTGAGGTCCTTTTCATTTTGAGGAAGTAGTTTTGCTTGAGCTGTTGGCTCCCCGGGGTTGAAGCAAAGCCAATCCTGCTGCTGGCAGATGTGTTGCCACGCCTGCCACGCAGGTCAGTATCGAATTCCGCTCCATCCAGTCATCCCACATGCATTCTGAAAGTAAATTATTTTTTATTGGGAGAAGCATTCTACTGGCGTCTATGGTTTAAAAGATTTAAGAATGAGCTACAGTGAGGAAAAACAAGGTATTTTTTTGTAAATTTGCTAGACATGAGTAAGGAGCACAAGACAAGATACATACAGAGATATGGATGCCCTGACTTCCTCTATATTGCTATTCATTCTGACATTTTCTTTCTCTTTATAAATATCACAAATTCCAGCACTGCAAAGTAGTTTAAAGAGGATAAACGGAATAGCAAGGCTGTAATAAAACCTGACAGAAGAAATTAACAGCATTTTTTTTTACCATATTCAGGTTTGCACCATAGCACCTATGTGACGCGGATCCTCTGGCCATCTTGCAGGTTGAGCACTTTTGCTCCCGTCTGTCATTCTCTCTAATTATCTCGCAGCAAACCTTCAAATCGGTTCTTTCTGCGAAGTGTAGGCTTTCACTTTTCTCAGTCCGTAGAGGTCTCCTTCTTACATCCTCCTTCAAAGAGCCCGTGTTCGCGCTGTATAAAAGGATGCTTTACTCATGCTAAGTAAAACTTTAAATGTCGACTACAGAAACACCACCGCGTTTCTAGTCCATCGGAGCCTCACCATTGTGTTTCGTATATCAAGGCCAAGAAACGCAACTGTGGACTCACAGGTGATAGCTTACTCTGTCGCCCCAAGACAATAGCTGTGTACCATGAGGAGTTCTTATCTTCTCCAGCTCAGTATTTTTTAGCACTTTTTCAAAACCCACTGTTTCAATATGATCTACGAAAGAATGGAGCTGCTTTTTTTTTGTAGACCTCTAGGGGGCCCTACATCTGAGTCATTGTACCCGAGTTCCTGCCAAGAAAGGCAGTTAAAGAAAACAACTTACCAAAAACTAAATTTCTGTAGGTGTACATTGCTGATAAAGCTATAAGTCGCGGGCCGTATTCATAAAGCACACTTGATGATATACAGCCAGAGAATGGCTGGGGGATGGATGCTGCTGATGATGAAGTTATCTAGTGACGGCAAAGGAGCTCGGAGCAGAGAAAATGAATAGGGAACTGAAGCAGGCAGCAGGTCCCTGCATTGGATACGCTCACTGGCCCTCAGTTTTAGATGAAGAAAAATGAGCCCCATAAGAAGTCAGTAATTGAACACTCCAAATTCAATGTGCATTTCCACTTTAGATTAGAAACATCTGAAGGCTTTGAAGCCCCAGACAGGAGAAGACCACCACTAACACACATCGGTGCAAATCCACTTAGGGCTTCAGGGGTCAGGGCAAGTATTTTATATTCAACTTTAAACATTCTAATTAATGTTAAAACTCTAGGATGTTCGTTCTGTGCAGAGTTCAGGGAAGGGTTTGAACAGGCAGACAACAGAGAGTGACGATATTATTGAAGATATGAAGAGCAGAGAAGGACTGTAACTTTGACTGTATATCACAGCTTAAAGGCTGCACTCTTTACTCTTAAATCTCTGTATCACCCCTGTTTTACTTATTTAACTGAAAACTAATAAAAATGGAAACTACAATCTGATTTTCAATGAAATTCAAGAAATCCACTAGGGAATGGTGTGTAAATAATTAGATTTGAATAATACTATAATCAAAGTCAAAACCTGCACACTTACAGTAAGTACTGTTTGCTATCACTTTAGACAGCCAGGACAGGTAAATTACGTTGAACTTACAGATAACAGTAACTTAGCATACTTAAACCCAGCTTACTAACAAGTCACAGTAATGACAATTTTATAAGCTTATTTAAATAATGAAATGGATAATTTCAGACATCATATCCGGCTGACAGAGATTACCTCTGAAAGGAGTATGGATCACAACAACTGACATTAGTACTGTCTCAGCAACTTTTGTCTGGTTAACAGGAATTGGAAGAGGTGATCTATCCGTTCATTTTCTAACCCCTTACCCTGATCAGAGCCGCAGAAGGGCATGGACCATATCCCAGACAGCACGGGGCAGGGGAGGTATACCCCAAATTCAATTCCAGTCCGCCACAGGACACAGGCACACACTCAAACACGTAATTATACTCTCTGGACACCTTCGAGACACTGATTAGCCTATGTCAGGGGTCTCCAACTCCGGTCCTGGAGAGCTACTATCCAGTAGGTTTTCTATCCTACCTGGCTTCTGATGAGCCACACCTGTTCTCAGGTAAATACCAGGAGCAGCTGTGGCTCATCAGAAGCCAAGTGGGATAGAAAACCGACTGGATAGTAGCTCTCCTGGACCGGAGTTGGAGACCCCTGGCCTATGTGTTTGTCCTTAGACTGAGGGAGGAACCCTGCTTGACACTAGGAGAACATGTTCTACCCATATGAGAGGAACTACAGGGTTCATATAAGACCATCAAACATTTTTCGATCATATTTCGATTGCACATGACAATGCAGGATGTACACTTGACATTTAAGGCACTCAAGGGAAAAGCCTATAAGAAAATAGGAAACTTTCACATTAATTTTACATTTTACCCTACATGATAACATATGGCTTTAGTAGGAAATAGATGTTTATTGCTTGCTGTTTCTTAATAAAAAAAATATGTTGTTCTTATGTTATTCTAATGAAAAACGTGTGATCACTCCACATTCAGTTGGTTTAATTAGACATGAGAAAATTCATGTTATGTCCTCAGAACACAAAGTGAATGTATCAAGCGATAAAGGATGTTGCCTTTTCAAAATACCCATTCTAGCTGTGTGGAACCTCTGTCCATGGTTCAGCTGAGTTCATGCAAAGAATTATACATAGAAACTAATACTGACAAAATGTTAATTTAATGTGCATTGTTCATCAATGTAGAACTTATATGTTTAACAAAATATTAATTTAATATGTATTTTACATGAATAAAGGACATGTACGACTAATGACACATATATTTATATGGATTGTACATAACGTAGGACTTAAATGTTTGACGGTACAGTAATTTTATATGTCAATAAAGGACATATATGTCTAATGACACAGTAAGTTAATATGCGCCTGTAGCCTGCTGGATAGGGTCTGGACCCCCCCATGATCCTGAATAGGACAAGCAGGTACAGAAAATGTATGTATGCATGTATGGATGGATGGATTCTATATTTATTTTGAAATATGTCATATGAAGAGCTCATATGTTTTAGGTAAAACGAATCATATATTATTTTTTCAGAACTTTTCCATATGGGCAAATTACTTATCGAAATTTAAATGATCATGGAAGTCATGGAAAAATCTTTAAATCAGAAATAACAGGCTTTATCACTCTTGAAGGTAAGGAAACCGCTGTTAGCTCTTAACCCTTTACATTTTCTGCTGCTATATGCTTCCACAAATTACCTGCTTCGTAAATGTCGGCACAACTCTAAAGAAATACAAAAAAGAAATAGAAAAGTGGATGGAGCTGAGCTCAAACCGGAGCGTTGTGAGCTGTCGCACTTGTACTTATAGGAATCACAAATCACGTCCTATTGCACCTCAAGGCATACAAAAATGCTGCAGTGAGGATTGTAAAAACTAAAAATATGATCATAGCGCAACCAGTCCTCACGTCCCTCCATTAGCTTCCATTTAAGCTTGTCGACTCCGTCTTAATTATAAGGCAGTGAAACGTCTGGCTTCCACTTATCTGAGTGAACTCGGTGGATTATATGAGCCATAATGCTCTCGCTAGTCTCCTTATGCCGCCACTGGTGCTGGTGGGATAAATAAACAATCGCGGCCAGCGCAGCCTTCTGCTCTACGGCCTTTAAATGATGAAACGGCCTGCCAGCCAGGATAAAGGATGGCCCCTCAGTGTCACTCTCTACACCGGAGACACGCTCTTTTATTCTCCCTTATGCTACTTAAAGCTGCTACGGTCATTTTCTGTGTTCATGTCCCTGTCATTTCCCCTTTCTCCACACTTGCCCCGCATGTTTCTTCTCTCCGCCCACTCTGTCTGGGGCAGACACCCCCCCCCCCCCGGAGCGAGCGCTGCAGGCTTCTGAAGTAGCTCAGGCTCAGTGCAGGAGAAGCATCGTCATAGCAGGCTGACCCAGCGGACATGACTGGCTGACCTAGCAAAACGCAGGCTGAAAGCTCGCCACTCCTCAGGGGGGATGGGAAGGCCGGCTTCGGTCCTCGCTTTGTTTTTTATTTCCTATCTTTTCCTATCTCTCCCGTCTTCTGGCATTTTTACACCAACCCTTTAAACTGTACCATGTTAATTGCCTTTGTGTCTGTGTGCGATGTTATTACCAATTATTGTTGTGTCACAGCAGCTTGTAATGCTGTTGTTAGATTCTACTTTAAGTACCTTGAGACGGCCAAGTTAGGTAGTGGGAAGCATAAAGATAATTTAGATGGAACTGTGCAATGTCTCTAAAGGGCAGCTTATATGAGGAGAGGCAAAAACGCTGAACACCGTGGCAGTCCACACCTGAGCACTGAATAATTGGCAAAGACACAAGCCTGGAAATGGTGTAACGCCCTGTTCCTGTGAGATACTAATGCCTAAACACATTATGGCATGCAGATGCTTAAATTTGTGCATTAAGCTAAGTTGTTGTGGCAGACTCAAATACATAGAGGCAGTGCTTGGCAGAGAGCTGCCTTTTTAAGAGGCTGTGGCCTCTGGACCTGCCTTTGGAGTCTCTTGGGCCGTGACTCCCACTATGATGGTGACAACAAAGGCTCTGTACCCGACTAAAGGAGAGCAGAATTCTCTTTGGGCCTTTAGTGTAATATAGGATTCACATACTTGATTCACGTTTGATGGGCTGATTTTGAAACTGAAATGAACTAGCCTTAGCATTTGCCCTTATTCTCGTCGAAGGGCTCATTCTAGGTGCTTCCGGATCTGTACAGCTTTCAGGAGGAGGGACGGAAAGAAAGCAAAAGAAGGAGCGTAAATAATAAAAGTTTTTTTTCAGGTCATGAATTCAAATGTGTTTTACTATCGTGACAATTATAATATTTTCTACAAAGCACTTAAACACTGACTCTAAAAGCAGTTTCCCTGAAATACTTCAGGCAGAAAAGCGTTTGCCGTTTTATATTTTTAATAAGGTGAAGAGGAAAAGCCGGCTCTCAGTTGTATACGTCCTGCTGGCTACAAGCATGTTTGACACAGGCTGTTTGACATCTACCCCAGGCTGACCTTCAGAGCCCCCTAGGCAGGCAAAGGCAGGTGGATCACAGCCGTACCTAGTAGGGGCTATAGCCCTGTGTGGCAAGCTTCTGTCCATAGTGGGAGATAATGGAGCCAATCAGTGCTACTTTCATTCATGGTTCCTAATAGACCTTGGCTGGATGACAGAGCTTTAATGCCTTAGTTAATGTTCCTGAAAGCAGCAGAGCATGCAGAAGAACGAGGACATCGGAGTCATTGCACTCCGACTGCATTTTACTGCGTCCCTTGGTTAAATCGTTATAGCCTTCCCTCATTTCTGGATCTTTGGCTCCCCCTTGTGGTATACAACGTGCTCCTACAAAAGATTACAATACAGATTAAATGATGGAACGGGGATTTCGTCCATTGTGTACCCCAGTACTGTGCTCTGTGCTGCTAGAAATAAGCTCCAGCCCCCCCTCCATGACACTGACCAGGATTACTGGTTGGAAGATGGATGGATAAAATGATAACTGTTTTAAGCTTCTATAAAAAGAAATAATTGCAGGATATTATTCAGATATAACCAAAGCAATAGAGTGTAACGTATTATTAGGCAAAGATAGAAATTCATACCCCATCCCCAGGGAAGGGATTAAGAAGCCCCGTTCTGGACAATGAATACTATTACAATTGTGATGTGTGTGTGTTTCAATTAAAATATAAACAAAGATATTAATGTGGAGAAAGAAGACATAGAGTTTTTATAATAATGTTACTGCAAGAGAAAATAGCTTAATGCAGTCTTGGCTGTATGCTTTGTGCAGGTATTATATGTACTTGGGGGGAGATGGCAGCATTACAGCTAAAAGCATCATAGCTGCCTTGTAAGCAGAAGTCGTCCCTGTTTCTGGCACTTTCAGCAAAGAAAGATCCCCCTTTATTCTATTTTCAAGGGGGGAGATGAGTGACTGATGGAGGTAGAGCTGGTGCAGATGTAGATAGCAGAAGTAATGGAGATGGTGCTGATGTGACACCAGTGGAGATGCTGGTGATGGATTTTAGGTGGTGGAGATGCGACGTGCACCGCAGCCTGGCAAAGTCTGCATTAGTGCTTCAAAAGAGTACCACAGTCCTTGTTGATTCAGGGGCGGAGTCACAGTACAGCCATTGCAGATTTCTGAGCAGAGACACCTATAGCATGGCTATAATGAAGCCCTATGTGAGAATCCGATTACAGACCTGAGTGATCTGCTCAGCTTCAGGCCTGAACCAAGGTGATGAACGAGCTCCTTCTCTCCTCCGATTGTTGCAGCACTTCTGCTCCCGTGTTTCTGGATTTAAGTGCCATTTCTGACATCATAGATCACAATGTCCTCATAAATAGGCAGGATAAAAAAATCAGGGTAGGGAATCTTGTTGGTGTCAGCAGACAGGTTTTCTCCTGGTCCAGGTGTTATCAGTCAGCTAAACTCAGATAAGACAGAAATTATGTTAGTCAACTCTAATTCAATTTATATGATTTAAGGTGAAGCTAAATAACTTGTTGTTACAAACAAGAAGCACATTTGGATCTCATCTTAGAAATATACTGTATATAGTGTCTTTAATTTGCAGAATATAGTCAAAGATCAAGTAAAAAAAAAAAACAATCTCTGCATGATGTAGAAAGAAGCTGGCCCATTAAATCATTATACTATGGTTGCTGTATCACCCTTTTTAGCTCTCAGGCTGGTTAAGTAGTATAATATAATAATTCTTAGTATAATGTGTACACATATAGCTTTGGGTGCCAAATAATGGAAAGCTGGATATAAAATGTTTATGATCACCATTAAAGCTTTCAACACACTTGCATTTGTGTCTCTTTGTGATCTAATTCTCGCCAACTGCCTTGCTCACAAGACACTCTTTATCATGTCGTACCGAAAATTACAAGCACAATTCAGCAAGTCTACAGGAAAATGCTACCACTAAATATTCAGCAAATCAAAAGGTGCTGAGCAGATAATGGATTCTGAACACCCGGCTGTTTGTAAGCCGAGCTGTCATCCTCCTGTCTTAGGTGTCCCTTATATATATTGCCGGGCTTATATTTTCATTATGTCTGTTAAGCTTGAGGCATCGTGATTGTTTCTTCCTGCACTAAGATCTCTTTGCTTCTATCTAATCAAAGTATCTATCCACGAAACATTGCTAACAATTCTCAAGCCATTTTTGCACATCCTATCTCATGCCATCTATCTCAGCTTGCAGATGAACAGAGGAGCTCGGACTCCTGGTGGAGATCAGGGCCTATAGGAGGAGGTCTGTTGGGCGTCTGCATGGGCAGCTGCCTTGCCTTTCTGCTCCCTGTAGCCAGATTACCTGACAGTGATTGTTTGGCCTACAGTCGCTGTCAGCCATGATCAAGAGACTTTCATGTTCCTTATAATTGTGTCTGTGATTTGTGATTCCGACATCGACAGGCAGTATTTTGCAGCAGTATTGCTCGATTGCTTTCTTCACTGGGGTTGGGGAATTATTACGTTTCCCCATATTGGCAAATTGGGTTTTCAGCTTTTTTGATTCCTTCTGGAAAATCTACTGTAAAGTGTTGAAACAAAAGTTTTTTTTTAAAGCATACAGGTCCACTGTACCAGATTAAAACGAAGCATGCAGCCATCTGTATTCATATGAATATATAAAAATTAGCAATTTTTAAAAAAACAAGTGTCATTAATATACCAGCTGAACTCCAAAACCCAAAAAAGAAGCAACTTCATAAGAACTAATACAACAGCCTTTCATAAATGCGCTTAATGTCACCTGAGTTTTACATCCAGTTTTGGCCTACTCGATGTGCAGCACTTTAAGCGAATGCTGTTTATCTCAGTAGACAAAGCAGCCAGTGGGAGGGTTGAGAATATTGGTTTAAATAGGGTATTCAGGCTTCTCAAAAGGCAATTTACTATCTGCCCGATTTCGTGGATCCGCACAAATGAGATCGTTCACTCTTTCACAGCACATTTGCCAGCTCTCCGTATCTTTGTAATGGTGTCTGAAGGTCGTGTTTTAAAATTAGGCTTACCCTTTAGGGCGAGCTGGAGGCAGTCATACATACAGCCATGGAAAGAGGAAGTGAATGCAGATCTATCAGCTGTGGCAATGGGTCCCTTATACCAACCATTGCAAAACAGCTGACATGTGCTCAGGGTTGCCAACGTCGGTCAGCTGGATGGAGTGAGATTTTCCGTTTGAGACAAGTCTGCACTCACATGCACACGCATTTACAGTATATGTATGTCACAGTTTTATTACCTTGTAAATAGTCCACAGGGTTTGCAAACTACCGCTTTTGATGTAGCTAATTTTAGGTTCTTAATGGAATAATATAGATTTGCCTTGGGGTTTCTCGCGTGAGCGTCCAAGATTGTAGATTTCTATGTTTCTCTTCAATTCAGAACAGGTCAGCCTCAATGTTAGGATAGGGCTGTGGTCACATGAAAGGTGAAAGCAAAGGAAAGTAACTTAGTTTAGCTCCTTGTACTTTCCGTTTCCACAGCATCCCAGCTATATGTGGGGTTTTCAGGCAAATTACCGAAATACGCCGCACTGGTGTTAACATATTTCACAAATTGTTATACCAATCAGTTTTCAGTATCTAAAACCAGCATAAACACCCAGTCCTATTTCTGAACATTCAATAAAAGTAAAAATCCTCGTTGTTTTCTTAGATTATATTAATAAGGCAGAATGTATGATTTGGTAAATATTTAACTTCAGTAGGTATGAAACGTGTATGCAGCGGCTCTGAATTAAACCGGAGTTTCCGTGTGATCTCCTTCGCTCTAGATGGCGCCAGGTCTTTTGGAAATTTGTTTTGGTGCGGAAACCAGCCACTACTGCAGAATAACAGGAAGCGGCGCCCTTTCGGTGGCTTCTGTCTGCAGCGAGATATGCATTATTTTGCACAGTAATTAAGACGATGGCGCTGGGTGATAATGAAGGCGAGCCGCCGTTGTCTGACGATGACATCGACTGGACCGATGAGAGCGCGGACATCGCGGCAAGCCAGCCGGCCGACTGCCGGGACGCAGGTACACGGGGCTCCCCGGAGCGAGCAGAAACACCGGAAATTAATAACTGTACTGTTTATTTGTTTGTTAATGAGTGAAAATATTAGCTTCGTCTACATTTTACACTAAAATATAATCTTGCAGGATTGCATGTCGTAAAATCGGTTTTGTAGATTTGTTTTCACGCATGGCTAAACATAAACAAAGATATAAACTAAGCAAAGTGGCATAGTTGCTCGGACACTGAAACCTAGGAGGACCACTAGGTTTATCAGGTCTCCTCGACATGCAGAATGAAATCAGTGCACCCAGAATATATAAAAACCCCCATATAGCCGTATATACTGTATGCATGATACTAGGAAAAAAGATCGAGGTATTATCCTCAGAACTGAAATGGATTTGAAGGGTCTGGTTAAATGACACAGAAGCACCATGCAGGGTTACCAGCATCTAGCATGACACTCACGCTTTCAGACTCTCAGGCTCACACAAGAAATCTCCCAGCAAATTTATATTATTCCATTATAAACCTAAAATTAGCTACATCAAAACCGTTGGGGTCGGTTGCAAAACCCACAGAGTATTTACAAGGTAATAAAACTCTTATATAGATGTAAATGTGTGTGCAGACTTGTTCCGAATTGGAAATCTCTCCAGCCAGCTGACCAGAGTTGCCTGTATGCATATATGTGACCTGTTATGGCTGTGTGGTGGTGTGTTTGGTCCTTTCCTCCAGAAGGCCAGCCACAGAAGGTCATCCTGCACTTTGACCTGGACTGTTTCTACGCCCAGGTGGAAATGATCCGCAACCCAGCCCTGTGGAACCTGCCTTTAGGTCAATGACAGCTTCTTTATTGGCTAAATTAAGGACCCTTGATATGTTTAATCGCATCAGTTCCTGAAATAAAAGCTCTTTATCTTCTAATGAAATGCGATTTGGATTTATTCCAGCTATATAGGAAATATAATCTGCACCTTCTCAGCTGCATTAGCTGCGCTTAATTTCCTCTAAGGTGGCTTTATTGGTCGTCCCCAGTAGCTAATCTGGTTATTAGGATGTTCTATGAAAGCTTTTTTAATGAACTGTAACGAGTTATCAGCCACTTTATGTACATCTAATGGAGTTCTGTAGATTTATTTATTTTTTTTAATATTCAGGTGTCTCGTAAGGAAATTAGCAAATAAAAATGTTTGTTTCACTGTAAATGTTTTGCATTTAGCTGTTCACCAGAAGTATTTCATTGTCACGTGCAACTACTTGGCCAGGGAGCTTGGGGTGACCAAGCGGATGATGGCGACGGAAGCCAGGTCTAAATGCCCCGAGCTGGTCCTTCTCAATGGAGAAGACCTGACCCCTTACAGGGAGATATCCTATAAAGTCACAGGTAACACCATCTGTCTGCAGGCTTTCTACTCTTACAGGCCCTGTGCAGGTGCTGATTGGTTGCCTACTGGCACCATGAACCCTAGTCACCCAACATGTATCGTGTGAGACATGGTCCAAACTGGGAAGATTGATGGATGGATGGACGGACAGACAAATGGACAGAGATTTGCTTTGTGTTTCCAGAACTGTTGGAGAGTTTTTGCCCCCTGGTGGAGAGACTGGGCCTTGATGAGAATTTTGTGGACATCACAGAACTGGTGGAAAAGAAGTTAAAGAAAGTGCCTCTGCCCTCTGACGTTTCAGTCAATGGCCATATTTACAACCAGCAGGGTCAGTCAATGTTTTTTGTGGGCATGTGTGTCTATGTGCATGCATGCATAAAGGACTCTTGCTCAGAAATACAGCCACTTCATGCTTATTCATTGACCAAAGTCAATTTGCTCTTCTGCTTGTCACATGCACCATGCTGCCACTAGGTGGTGCTCATGATAAAGGTATTTATTCAAAGTAGCTTTTATGTACAGCTGGGAAAAAGGGGTTAATGTGTTTTTTCAGGCCTGCCATAAATTTCTGTAAGCTGTGCATGTTTTTCTTACCAGGAGACAACTCGCAACAAGAAGTGTAGAAGGAATTGGTTGGAATTCGTAGAAATGAGAAGGGTTTTTTTTGCGGGGGTTGTTCATCTTTGTGGGATAAAAATGAGGCTGATGCTCTTTGAAGTCGGAAGAATGAGGGAGCTTGTTGGATCTGGAGTTGGAATGTTTGAGATGAATTTTTAAATATCTGGTACACCAAGGTTTTGGGGGTGTAGTTTTTTTTTTGCACCCTTCTTGACCGGATCACTAGATAATTCATGACACAAGATTGATTAACATTTAAATAAAATGAGTTAAAAAAAAAAACAACAAACAGAGCGATATGTTGGAAAAAGCCAGCAGATGACAAAAGATGAGAGGAATTAAATTATCACTTGTTTAGGTTCATTGTTTAACAATCGGACGTGTTGTGGTCTATCCAGCCCTAGATACCATGGCCCCCGACCACCACCGGCTAGCATTGGGGTCCCACATCGCCGCCGAGTTTCGGGCCGCCGTCCACACCCAGCTGGGCCTCACGGGCTGCGCCGGCATCGCCTCCAGCAAGGTTCTGGCCAAGCTGGTTTCCGGCACCTTCCGACCCAATCAGCAGACAACGCTGCTGCCAGAAAGCTCCGCCCAGCTGATGTGTGGCCTGATCCACGTTCGCGCCATACCGAGTAAGCTCCGCCCAGTCCCGGCGCTGTGGTACTGGCGGGGCGGGGGACTCATCTTCAGTGTGTTACCATGCCCCCCCCCGCAGGTGTGGGCCGCAGCACCGCTATGCGCCTGCAGGCTCTCGGCATTCACAGCGTGGTTGACCTGCAACGGTGCCCCCTGCCCACGCTAGAGAAGGAGCTGGGTGGGATTTGTGCTCGCCGCATTCATTGCCTGAGTCTAGGCATTGATCCCCTGCCCGTCACGCCCAGAGGACCCCCACAGGTATCGCCGCCCTGCTGGACAAACACTTGTATGCGACAGATGTCATGGGCACTGAGGTCCAAAAGATCAACAGGCAGATTACCAATAATTCCCTTCTCATCATGAATAAAGCTCCTCATTGTCACTAAGTCTGCTCTTGCTCATAAGAAAAGCCTTCTTATTATTAGTAAATCCTGTTTATCTTTAGTGCTGTCTTTAAAATGAAATTACCCTCCCTGGCAGTGAGCAGCCTGTCTTGCGAAGTTCGGTTAATATGCAGTCATCCTACATAGTGTGCACGGCTGCTTAGTGGGGACACAAGCTTGTAATCTGCAATCTTAAAGTGTATAATTGACACATATCTTTAACTTGGTGCACAACAGGATTTCATGCTGACTATTGCAGTAAAATTACTTAAGAACAATGGGCTACTTATTTGGAAAATCAGACTTTTTTTTATGTGAGTGAGAATATTTGTGGCATCAAACCTCATTAATCCTTAAGGGGAATTCTTCTGTCTGAATCTGTCTGTCTATTTGCATGTGTTGGCTTGAATAGTGATGTGATTTGGAGGGATGTGGAGATGTGGCCTGTTCGGTTGTAATAGAGATCTTACCATAGCAGGTAGAATTAGGGAGCTCTCTTTGGTTATCCACATTCCCCAGCATCCTGACTGTAAGACTGCCTGCCTTGTGCTGCTATTTAAAGCAGTGAGAACAAACAAAAAGAGACTGCAGGAGAATAACCCAGCTAAGTAGGAGCAGCAGTGATCTGAGGCCATCGCACTGGATCCGTGCAGTGTGTCGCAGTTAGGGCTTCCCCACTGGCTTGGAGATTCTCTCACAGCCTGGTTTCCCCCCCTGCATTTCAGTCTCTCAGTGATGAGGATTCATTCAAAAAAGTGTCTACAGAAGTGGAGGTGATGCAGAAGGTCAAAGAGCTCGTAAGCAGTCTGCTACACAGGTGGGCGACTTGGTGGAGGGGGCGGGGCCTTCTGAGGTCCATCATCGCTGTGGGGCTGCGGTTCTGACGCTGTCGCCATCAGGTTGCACAGGGATGGCAGGGTTCCGCGCACCATGCGTCTGACCATCAAGCGTTTCTCGGAATCCAGCCAGCCGGTGAGCAGGGAGAGCCGTCAGTGCCCTTTGCCCACCACCCTGGGGCAAAAGATCCGCTCAGGTGCCAGTCGCCTCTGCCTTTGACTCCTCCTCACATATGAGCTGGTAACAGCCTGCATAAGAAGCCTGTTGGTTATTAGCAAAACGGCTCCATGGTAATTTGCTTCTTACCTCTATAAGTATGATAGGCATTTGATCTTTTGTTCACGTTTCCGAAACTCTTCTGTGAAAACAGGCAGCTGGGATGCGGTGACACCCCTGGTGTCCTTGGCCATGAAGCTCTTCTTCAGATTGGTGGACAGACACATGCCGTTCCATATCACCCTGATCAGCGTGTGCTTCACCAACCTGCAGTTGTGCTGTTTGGGCACTAGGGGCTCCATAGTGTCATTCTTCTCACAGGGGTCCCCCGTCAAGCCAAAGGAGGCACCATCTGCAGGGGTGAGGAGAGCCGGGCTTCAACCAAACTACAACCTAAATCTATGCTGATCTCTTTATGTCTGATAATATATACTGCGTCTAAACGTGATCTGTTTGGTAGTATGGTACTTTTATGTAATGCCTTGATGATAAGTTAATGGCCAAAATTAGACTACATAAGTGGCTGTTTTACTCAACATGAATGCAAAGTATACGTGTATTTCAGTTAATGGAAAAACATGTTTTACTCATTTAATTCATGTGTTCACTGCAACACTGCAACACCAAACAGTTAGTATTTTCTGCCACTTTCTACAGCTCCTCATCTTTCTCATGGTGTATGTTGAGAATTTCTGTATATAATATTAATATGACATCTGGGTGTTTTAAGCATAATGTTTATAAAAACAATAATAGGAATCTGATGCATTAGGTCTTTTATTATTATCATGTTCCAGTCCTCAGGTCCTACCTGCCAGCAGGGGGCGCTTGATACAAGCGGCAATCAGGACGTGCAAGAGGCGTCTCTGGTCGCCAGTGCACCACTGCAGCAGAGGTCGGCTCCCTCTCCTCCTCCAGGAGTCGACCCCAGCGTGTTCTGGGAACTTCCTGAGGAAATCCAGAGGGAGCTGAGATCTAGTGCAGCTTCAGCTCCTGTTCCAGATTGCCCTGGTTCCACTGCGAGTTCTGCCCCAAGACTGGGACTGGGCCAACATGCTTCCAGGGAGGCCTCTTCTCCAGCCGTACTCCGGCCACCCAGCTTGGCTCTACGCACGCTTGCAAACCAGACCCAAAGCCTGAATCCCTCGCTGAACTCACCCGTCCATGAGGTGCCCTCTCACGTGGACCCCCAGGTGTTTGTTGAGCTCCCCACAGAACTGCAGGGGGAGCTGCTGGCCGAGTGGAAGCGAGAGACGCGAACCCCTCCCTCAACCCCACCCTCAACCCCACCCTCGCAGACTCTGCCCTCCCCTAAGCGAGGCTGGAGCAGGCCATCCAAGGGAAAGAAACTGAATCCATCCAACCGCACCCAGGTGAACAACCTGTTGAGGTACTTCAAGCCATGCTGAGACATCTGCATGAGCCATATGGCCTGTGTGCACTGATGGGTGACACACTGATGGATGACACACGCATATTAATATAACAGAGTGGCAGGCTTTTCCAAGCTGTGACATGCGGAACAGGATGGCATATGGAGCGTGTGACACCATAGATGACCCCTACCTTGAAGCCGAGGGTGTCACTACTATTTTATGCATGAGTGCATCCTTCTGGTAAAGGAATTTTATTGATTATACAGGCGTATGAGTGCAATTCCAGCCAAAGGGGTTGGGTGGCGCTGTCGTGTTTGTGTGAGGTCATCTGACATTCTCAGACAGGAAGTGATCTTGAACCAAAGTCTTAAGTACAATCACAGTACGACGGTTTTGAATAAGTATTTTGTGTAAGTATGATGTGTGTTTTTTTTATTTAAAAAGAAGGTAAAAGAAAATAAAAGGTTGTTGTAACATTCTTTACAATGTAACAGTTACATTGTGTGTCCTGGGGATCAGTCTCCTTGAGAGTTTATTACTCAGTGTTAAAGCACTTAGGTATGCTTTGTTTGTGGTTTATTTTATCTGAGTAATGCATTATTACTGGAAAAATTCTAATAAATTTCTTGCCATACAGACCGTAAATGTGTCATAAAGGATGTGACATCAAGGCTGGTGGTTTCGTCACGCCACTTACAAAGTGAGAGCATTAATCACAGTGATGAACCATGACCAATGACAGGGGAGTCAAATATTTAGTTTCGATTAACTTTGGAGACGAAATGTAAATGGTTGCTGCTTTTAAGAATATCCTTGTATTTAGCCTGGCAGTGTTACTTTGTGTATGTATCATTCACTTTTATCCAAGGAGTCGTGTGGTTGGGTAAGCCAGCCTCTAGAGCTCAAGGGTCCAATGGTGAAATCACTCTGCCCAGCATGAGATTTGAACCGACAACTTTCCGATCACAAGCACAACATCATAACCTGTTGTACTGTTATCACATAGTCACAACTGGTTATATATTATACACAGCATTTAGTCCACCAAAAAAACATGAATTGCAACATGCCTGGCTTCGCACAAAACTGATAGCAGAGCAGTGTCAACAGAAGCTGTTTAATCAAAACATTTTGGATCATCCCGAAGTCAAACTCCGTAAAAGTTTTCTGGATTACAAACCTGCTGTATTTCTTACAGTATTTAATTTTCCATTCATTATTACACATTATTCCTATTTTGCATGACTAATGTCCATGGTATTAAGAGTACAACGTTCATGTATTAGCACCTGTTTGGTTATGGCCCAGTACTCTCCATAGTCTTGGCCTTCAGCCCAGCCCGAGCGCTGTTGACCAGGTCGATGATGTTGTTGGGAAGAGCAGCTTCCACCACAGTCCGAGGCAACATCCCCCCTAAGTCAGGCTGGATGTAGACCTCCAACTGGGACCGAGAGGGAGTCCTGGCAACACCCACACACACATTAATGCATCCACTCGCCATGGTCAAGCCACGCAAGAAGACGCTCACATGAACTGCTTAGTATTGTGTGATCTGTTTGACCAACATGTATTAGTTAAACATTTGTACTACAGATGTGAGATGTCAGTTATACTATTTCTTATAATAAATTAGCCCTGAAGTGTTTACACAAGTTGTTACCACCTGCTACTCTTTATGGCTACTTAAGATAACTGACCTTGTATAACTTTCCATAGAGGCTTATGTATTCTTTGATTTCATACACACAGCTTAGGTAACGCTCTGAACCTTCAGACTTTAGATTTTTTTGATGCACTTTTCTCACTAGATTGCATTATGGATTACACTTGATGCCAATCTGAAGTGCACTTTGGAAACTAAAATCTGACTGAAATCGTCTTAATGTAGCCCTTCTGGCTTGTTCTTTACACAGAAAGGGGCATACAGTACATACCCCATTAGTGGAGAGCACACATATCCACATGCATTGTTGTGTCCTCTGATGTGAGGTGAACATGGTGGGCATTGGGGATAATCAACACTCACAGCTACGTGAGAAATCCAGAGAAGGAAGTAGTTAACACAGGAAACGCTGGCCAAGGTAACATGGTTAGCGACGTGCATCCCAGTTACTCACAGTTAGTAGTGACTATTCCTCCATTGTACCGTTTTACCTTCACAAGGTCAACAAAATCTCTGGATGAAATGAGACCCATGCCGTAACGGTGGGTGACAGTGTGACAAATAAAAGTCTCCTGTCGAAAAAGCAAATGCTCCAATTTTAAATGTGTCCTTATTAAAAGCAGTCCTGTCATATGTAAGGAAGTGCATCTCTATCTGGGTGAACACTACACTTTTAATATGTCGTTCAGCACTGGTACTCTTTAGACTTTGTTCATAGCTGATTTTCTTTTTTCTTCCTGAAAAGCAAGGCTGACACCCAAATGATCTAGACTTCAAACAGTCCATGAAATTGTTATGGGTCTCACCTGGCCAATATGCTCAAGAATGGAATAAGACTGTAGTGACTTGTCCCATTTCATTCTATGCTCTGGAAGATACATGAAAGGAATGATATTTTCAGGGGTGTCCTCAATGGTTGCCTGACCACGGTACCTTTGCAAAGATCCAAAGAACAAGGTGTACGTTTCAGACCCAAGGCATTAAATATACAGAACTGTCTATATCTGATGTAAGATGTCTATGTCCACCTTCAAACTATCTTTGGGCAATCCATGGAGTATAAATCAGGTAAGGTGTTATATTATAATATCTGTAGCAATATATAGATAGTTCAGTATCCATTCAGGACTTACAGTTTCCCTTGATACTCATTGGATGGTTTCCAAGATATTATAATATCTCCCTATAAGCAAAGAGCAGCATTACATTTCTGAGACGGTAGGGGGGCCCATTCATGTAAGAACATGCAAAGCTGAAAATCGGCTACATTTTACAAATTCGGATCTGCTTCTCAATAAAAGTAATTATACACGTTTTTAAAATTTGGAGATGCAGTCACCATCTAGATTGACAGTAATGGTTCTATCATTGATTCTTACTGAAGTTTTCGCCAAAGTCCATCCTGATTCATCTTGATGATATGATGATATGATGATATGACCACACGAAGTCCATTCTGTAATAAAATTAATGTTTTCAGTACTTTGTTAAAGATTACTACAGTAAATTGTTTTCGACTAGCTGTACGAAAAGTTTAGCTGCATCTTGATTGCATTATTTGGCATATAATTAAAACTAGGTACTCACGTAATCGTAGACAAAAAGGTTATAACAAAATATTATAATAACAATATGAGAAACTATATACACCGCAATGCACAATATGACTTAATCTGCTGCAGTCTCTGCATAAATTGTACACACACAGAAAACGGTCTGCGATTTATAGGACTGCAAGTTAACCAAATAGTATTAACAATTACGTTCAGTAAAATAGCGATTATGACACTGGTCTTTCCGGACAACTGAACTTTGGACATTATAGGCTAGTTATGCAATTACACTTACGGCAAATGATTTGCAGAATGTAATAAAATACGTGTTTAATATGTATTCCTTTCTTCCGGTCTCATTAATAGATTTTGTATATTAAAGGTGCTTTGCAGAACATTTTACTAGATAAAAGGCCCGTACCGTTGGTATTAATACACTATATTAATGCTCACTGTACTGTACATTACAGTAATGCTGATGGTCTTCCGTGCCAGTGACGTCATCTGCCGCTGAGCATGCTGGTAAACGCGAGGACGCCAATTATGTCAAGTTTTGATCTCGTTTAAAATATATACCGTAATACTTTTCATGTAAAGTGTTTTAGTTTACTGTGAATATAGTTAGTGCTTTTTTCTGATATGCAAAATATAGATTAATAATGATTAAGCAACTTGAATCCCAGGCAGTACTTTAGAAGAGAGAATCAATTTAAAATGGGTTCATTTTAAGCATTGTTAATATGACCAAACGTTTTGTCCTATCCCTGAGTATCCCGAGAGATTTCCTACATCAGATGATGGATAATCTTCCATCGGCAGGAGGGCTTAAGTCTATGAGTGGCAGGCAGTTTTTAATCACTGTCTCACAGCACCGCTCCCCTGGAGATCAGGGGGAGGGGCAGGGGAGCTGGCAGACCCTGGTGTTTTAGCTGATAGGAGCAGAACAAAGTTATCTCACTCCGTAATGCAGAGCCCCCCGTTAATAATCTTGTTAATACGTCATTTTCCCCATGGTAATAGCGCAAGCAATTTAGAATGTGGCAGTTTATTCCTGAATAGTCTTGATCTTCAACATAATGTTCGATTATATTATTTAGCTGGCATCTATAGGTTATTTGGCTCATATTTTAAATAATTTAGACAGCGTAATATTTTTGCTTAAGATAACCAGGTTACGGGTTTTCTTATACATCAGTCTCGCGTTTTCCTAATTTTAAGTCCAATTGTACGTTCTGTTATCCCATGTTGCCGTGTTGAGTTAGGTTGAAGAAGCAATGAAATTAAATGCGAAATGTAAGGAATAACCACTTATTCTAACAGCAAAGTTGTGCTGTGGCTCTCTGTAACAAGAAGTGCACGGTATATTAGAACTGGGAGATGTTATGTTCTCAAGAAAATAGTGAAATTCAATACTTGGTATGCACTGGTTACCATCACATTGAGGAACAAATGATGAAAGTAATGCATTTTAGAAAAAGATGGTTGGATTCTCTTAAGTTGTCTCAACTAATGGACTATATATAGCCCTTATCAGTCTTGTTAGCATGACACTGCAATTTATGCGAGCTGTTCGTGATGGCAGAATGAAGAGTGGGGTCTCACAGCAGCTGGGGAAAGTTAAATATGTCAACAACTAAAACTGACAGCCATTTCTTTCAAACCAACCACTGCCAAGTCGACCCAAGGAAGGGACAATTTTGCATCTGGTTATTTTCCTCGCTGACCTGGTTATCAAGGCTGGTCAAGACCACAGGGCTTTAAGCAGGAAGCCTGAATGAAATGCAAGTGAAAGAGAAGAACATCTGAGTGACAGGACATGAGGAAGGACAGAATGTTCTGGAGCACAGCAGCGCTGAGCATGGTGTTCCTTATCCATTTTGGCTTTACCATCTCCACAGGTGAGCACTCCTGGAAGACTAAGTGCAGGGAAAAACACCAGCGCCGATCTATCATATGGCATAGACTTTACTAAAGAGAATGAGGACCATAAGCTGAGAAGTCCCATGGCAGGCTATCTTATAAGAGATTAAAACAGAAAAATGAGCCATTGCATTTTAAACCTAAATAGAATGTCTTTTTTTTACTGATATTAATATGCTAGCTAATGTCTAATGTATATACTGGTCACATGGTTTTGGTAAATCAGCTTTTGCATGTGACAGTGGGGACACAAGGTGTGGACGTGTGTGCCACATGTCACGTCAACGCCACGTGTGAAGAGAAGGCTGACGGCCACAAAGTCTGCAACTGCATGTATGGCTTTGTGGGAAACGGGAGAACCCACTGTCAAGGTCAGTTTCTTTACTTTAATTTGAAAGCAGAATGATTGCGAATCCCCTGGTTTGAGTGGAAGTTGATATAGATTTGTAGGTTTTCATCTTAAAATGGCTTCCTGTTGAAGATGTTATAACAGTTGCTTTCTGTCAGATAAAGATGAGTGCCAGATTGGAGCCAATAAAATTTGTGGGAATCACACGGCCTGCCACAACACCTATGGCAGTTTCTACTGTACCTGTCTGACTGGCTATCACCCCTCCAACAACATGGCCACCTTCATTCCGAATGACGGCACCTTCTGTGATGGTATGCTATTGACCATTTAGAATAACTTCCGTTAAATGTGATATTCATCTTTAAGTTTTATGTGCTTAATCTTCTAATAAATGGAGGTCAGTGGTTTATTCTACAATATCGAAACCTATTGAAACAGTAAAGAAAAACATCTGTCTGTTTTTGTCTGTTTATACGATTGGACAAGAATTATCAGTACTATCGTACAATTTACCTGAATCTATAAATGCAGATAATGAACAGCTTGCTTAGTTGCAAATGTTCTTTCTGCACTACAAGTTTATACTAATGTGCCAATTCTAGTGCACCAGATTCTGCATATTACCTTCAAAATTGTTATGAAACAATATATAGCCCTATTCAATACTCTTTTGTAATGCTTATCTATAAAAAAAGTGAAATTACGATTTAGAATATGTTGAATTACACTAATATTTCAAAATTATAATGTTACGATTGACTTAATTGTTTATAAAAATGATTCAGATTTTCAAGTCTGATTGTTTTACAGCCTTTATCCACAGTGGATTTAGTTTTTTTTTTGACGATGCTCAACAGAAAAAAAATATCAATGTCAAAGTCAAAACAAATCGTTATGTGATTGAAATTGATTATAAATATAGAATACAAAATAAGTGATTATGTAAGTATTAACCCCCATTACTATGACACACCTAAATCACCACTAGTGTAGCCAATTGGTTTTAGAAATGTTTTTGGTTAAGGTGTTACAGATAAGGTGTGATCATAATATAAATACTGCTGTAGCTGGAAGGTATAAACACAGCTATAAATATTCATAAAAAGGTATTATATCCATGTTTATTATGCATTATGAATGGCTTATGAAGCTCTCATCTATAATGCATTATGAAGGTATCTATAGTGCATTATAGATGAGAGCTTCATTGGAGCTTATGAAGTATTATAATCAGCACTAATGCATTATAGATTGCCACTTCAAGTAAAGTGTTACCGAAATTTTCACTGCACATGGAAGAGCTGTAGATCTGCCTAGAGTGAAGGTCTCCATGACACATACTGTATGGCACCTCTGAAGGAGTTACAAGGATCTGTATCTGAGATGTGAGCGTCTCTGCACCTGGCAACTGTTGTCTGAGTGTTTTACCAGTCACAGCTTTATGTGGGAGTGGCAAAGAAAAATGCACTTTCAAGGAAAAAAAAAAAGTAATGTGACATCTCATGCAGAGTTTGCTAATAGTACATGTGTGGAGACTGTGAAATCAAATGGAAGAAGGTTCTGTGGTCTGATGAGACTAAGATGATGAGCCTTTTTGGCCATCATTTGGTGTAAACGTCATGTCAAATGTCTCATGTTGCTGAAAACCCCCCACTGCCAACGTGAAGCGAGCAGGGGGCAGCATCATACTGTGGGGAAGAGTCTCTGCCGCTTTTCATGTGAGGTTTTGCGAAGGAAGTGGGTGAAATGAGTGCAGCAGATAACCTGTAGGGGAACCTGCTGCGGTCCGTAAAAGAAGAACTGGGAGAAGGTTTTCTAGTGAGGAAATGGCCCCAAACATGGAGCCAAAGCGACACAGAGATAAAAGCAACAAAGTTAATGTCCCGCAGTGGCCAAGTCAGAGTCCAAATCTCAACCCAACTGAGAATGTGTGGCCGGAATTGAAAATGGCTCCATGCAACTTGACAGAGTTTGAGCAGTTTTGTAAAGAAGAATTAGAGGGAAACTACAGTGTCGAGATCTTCAAAGCTCATAGAGGTCTATACACACAATTCTCAAAGGGGGTGAAAATTTATGCAGTCAATTATTTAGTGTTTTATATTTGTAATTAATTTTATTGGCTTTCAAAGAATCTTAAAGAATCTTTTTCTGTTGATGAGTGTCACAAAGCTTAATTAAACCACTGTGCTGTTATTCACTAACCAATGTTATTCAATGCTGTATAACAATAAAAACATAACCCTAACCCTAACCCTTCCTGTAATTGTTGCCCAAAAGGCCAGTCATCCAGCAGAGTGTAGCTCACATACAAGACATTATGTTACCTCATAAGTGCCCAGTAGCCTGTGTTGCAGCGCTGTAGCATTTTTCCCACAAATGAGGAGAGGACATGGTGAATATCCCGTTAAAGAGGCCATAGGGTATGGATGCTCTTCTGGGTTCCCGGATTGATGGCTATTGCTTCTTTATTGCAGATGTTGATGAGTGTCTGGTGCAGGGGATTTGTGGAGAGGGTGCACAGTGCAGCAATATTCAGGGTAGTTTTAACTGCCGATGCCAAGTTGGATACCAACTCGAGAATGGACAGGAACCCTTCCGGCCCAGCCAAGACAAATCATACTGCACAGGTACTATCATTTTATAATTATACTGCTAATAGAGGTTTTGTGTGGTTCTGGGGGTTAGGATTTTGGGTAACGCTTGACATTAAGTGCACCTTCATAATGCATTCATAATACATTCATAGAACATTCATAAGCAGCATGCAAGTATCAGTACCTTAACATCCTAACATCCCTTAACAGCTTTAACATGCATCAATAACAAACATTACATGATTATACAATTATAATGTTTGTTATTAATGTATATTATGTTAGGATGTAAAGGTATACATACATGATGTATATGAATGTTTTGTGAATACTTAATAAATACATTATGAAGGTGCACTGAACATTTTATGAATACAATAAAAAAGCATTATGAAGGTGCAGTTAATGTAAAGTGTTACCGGATTTTGTGCTTGTGATTGGAACGTCAATGCTTCAAATCCTGTAGCCATCAGAATGATGTCACTGTCGGGCCCTTAAGGCCCATAAAACTCCAGCTGCTCAAGGACTGCTGGATGCTGGCCAACTTTGACTTGCTTTCACCTGTATATGTGTCTGTGTGTTTCACGGAGGGCAAGATGGGGGAGGGTGAAAAGAGAAACTCCCCATGGAGATGCACAAAGTATCACTATTCTAAAACAGGAACTTTGTATGCTTTTTTTTCGGCATATAATCAAAATTAAGGAAGTGCTACTGGTCTGGAACCCTGTTCTGTGTTTCGCTTACAGCAGTCGACTGTGGGCCACCTCAGAGTGCTGCCCACACTGTCCGGCTCTCATTCACGGGAACAAGCTACCTTAGCCAGGCTGTGTTCGGCTGTTCGGAAGGATTCCGCTGGAAAAGCGGGAACACAACAGCAGTTTGTGGAGCTGAGAGAGTGTGGGAAGGCCCCAGCCTGGTGTGTGAAGGTGAAACACGTTTTTTTCCCATGGCTGAGTTTCGCTGAAGTACTTTATTCATGTGCGCAGGGGAAGATGTGTGTTGCAAAATGATGAAGGCAATGGACATATCAAAACAGAGAACATAAAACATGAAACTATTTACAGCGTATAATATAAAAACCAACAGTCAAGGTATACAGCAGAATCCACAAAACCACCCATTTTCACACTGACCAACTGACCTTTCATGTGGTTTTGCAGTGGACTGCAGTACAACTAAGACTATTGTGCTTTCTTTGAATTGTTAGTCATGGGAAAGGCTATGTAGCAGTGAACCATTAAATAGCATTGATGTTTCACAAAGGAATAAGAGGGAAGGGAAGTATCTAATCTAATGAGAATGTGGGTTTGCCAGATGGTAAAGTGTTTCAATTGTCTGCCGTTGCCTACTGCTCCCTTTATATGGCTAATAAAAGGAATCTAGGGTCATCATTTTGTCAGAATACACACATACACACAGACAAAGACAATACCAGACAGTACCAAATTCTGGCACGCCTACCCATATAAAGGTTTGTTTGTACTATTCTCTACATTGTAGAATAATTATAAAGACATCAAACTATAAAATAACATATGGAATTATGTACTGACCAAAAATGTATTACACATAAAAATTTATTTGTTTTGGGTGGGAGCAGCTCTGTGGCTTGGGACTCGGTAGGTTGCCGGTTCAAATCCCTGGGTCGGCAGAGTGACTCCACCACTGGGCCTTTGAGCAAGGCCCTTAACCCCAATTGCTCCAGGGACTGGCTGACTGTACTGTCTCCTCTACGCCAGCTTCATGAGGTGGCCTCCTGGAAAGGAAGGTCTCATATATGCTGAGCACTCATTGGCTGCTTTTCCTTCACTGTCTTGGTCAAACTCCTCCAAAACTATGGCACTATGGCCTCATACATTCAGGGTTTTCGCTCGTGTTGACCATGAGATCCCTCTGGGTGCCCCGCCTTCCTCCCAGAATCCTCACTGTGTGCATGTGTGCCCTGTGATAGACTGGCATGCTGCCCAGGAAGCCCCCTTCCTTGTGCCCAGCACTTCTTAGAATAGGCTCTATGCTTCCTGTAATCCCTCACAGGAAAAGTAGTTCAGAAAAACACATGGATGAAGCATCTTTTCACATTCTGATGAACAGCATTCAGCACTGTGTCATGGAAGTAGAACATATGCATGTATGCAGATATTGTGCGTGTAAGAAAAGAAAACTGGGCAAGACATGAATTATGCTTAATTGCTGTCAGTTTAACGCCACGGAAAACAAAACCGCAAATTACACCAAACCCCTTTGAAATAAATGTACGCCTTGCTCTTGCTGATATTGCTTGCCGTTTAACCAGGTTAATAAATCTGGAAATAATGGATTTCTCATCAAAACAAAAACCAAAAGAGTAGATAGGGTGGCCGGTAGGGAGCTCTGCTATAGAGATTCATGGTTCTTGTTTGCCTGTTTGAAGCTTTGAAGACAGCATCTCTATTCTAGGTCCAGCAGAAAATTACGGAAATGTTTTTATGCAGCTTTGTTTGATTAAACTAATTAGGCATCACACAGCTGGAATGATGGCTGTGGTATCTGAGAGTCCATGTAAAAATCTAGTTAAAAGACTTAATCCCGGGAAGGCAGTGTCTGCCACTGCACCACTAGGGGGCACGGGAGCACATGTCAGTGCAGTGTGCAGGTAATGGCAAAACTTCTTGTTCTTCATCAAGCACCTCTTTCTTTCACTGTCTTTCATTAGCTCCCTAGATGGCTGGGTATCCTAAAGGGTAGATATCACTCTTACAGCTTAACACTCATCAGACTGAAGGTCTATGATTTATTGTAGGGGTTAGATATAACTATTCTATCACTATTTTAACAGGGGAATATTTATGATGCAGTGTACGAAATTTATCCATCCATCTTCAGATTCTGGAAAGAATCGCAGGTCACACAGGTCTAATACACTAAGGGCAATTTAAGAGATGCAAATCCAGCTAAACTGCATATCTTTGGATGCTGGGTGGAAACAGTTTCCTCCCTTGTGGGTGGAAACTCCAGTGGAGGGAGCTGAAGCCGCGAGAGCCGCGCAGGGGAACACAAAAGATGCACTGAACAGATCTCGGAGGACAAAAGAGTGCAGCAGGTGTGGAAAGAGCTAAGGTGGATCACAGGCTATGGTGAGACAGTTAGCTTGGGTGTAACTGGGAATCAGCAGAGAGCAGGCAAGTCAATCCAGTCTTTTAATAGGTTTGACATATGGGTGATCAGCCCAGCTGGAGGGTCTCTATGCCCCAATAGCTCCTGCTAAGGTCCCTTTCCAACCACCACAACCACGTCTCTATCGCAGACTTGTTCATCTCCACTGCCCAGATAATGAGAGAGCCAGGACATCTACCCATGGGCAGGAGAACTGAACCCAGCACAATCATCCTCAGAATGCTGGTAGTCAGTCTGGAGCAGCCAGGAGAAGTTTTCCAGGAGCTGTTCAATCTGTCCTTATGACTATTGACCACAGAAGGTTCCCCTCCTTTGAAAAACCTCCTGCGTACTGTAGTTCCAGTTCCCAAGAATGGAAGAAGCTTGCAGCTGCAGTGGCTTCAGACTGCTGGCGCGTATGTTACGAACTGTGAAGATGTTTCTAGTTGGTTCTAAAATCCCAGCTTGCACGCCAGACTGACATCAGTGTAGAACAGGGCTAACTGCTCCCGGACACCTACTCCCTGGTAGGGCTTACATGTTGTAGTTATGCTGGCTCTAATACTGAGATGCTACTGAAGGGCCTGATTATATGTATTAAGTGTATTAAATTATGGCTGCACCTAAGGTCTGCAGGGTGGTAGATCTCCAGGAGCAGGTTTGGGCAGCCCTGGTATCACATACGGACAAGCCAGGCAACATAGTGAGAAGGTCTTTCTTGATTTCTACAGTGTGTTTAGTGACATCCAGCCCCATCTATTAAGTGAGAGGCTCAGAAGGATGTTGCTTGATTGCCTGGATGATGGACAATCTCACCTTCAAGCCTCAATTTGTTTGCCTCAGTAACTGTACATCCTACGCTACCACTATTCTTGTTCAGTCTCTACACCACTTTCAGTACAACTTCAGAAGTGACACCTCCTGAAGTTCCCCCCACATCAGTGATGGGAAGGAAGAGAAGTGGAGTGGAGAATTTCTCATGCAAGAAGAATCACCTACAGCTTAATGTCAGAAAGATGAAGGAGCTGGTGGTGTACTTCAGGCAAATCAGGCAATCACTGGCAGCTGTGTCCAACTTTGGAAGACTGGAGATTGTTTTGTGCCATGAGTACGTTGGAATCCACATCGTGGACAGACTGGACTGGAACGACAACAGAAATGGACTCTGCAGGAAAGGGCAGTGTAGACTGTTCTCCTGGTGGAGACTCAAGCTCAACCAGAATGTTGCTGACTGTGTCCTGCTCTCTACTGATGTTTTCTGGGGGAGGAACATCAAGAAGATGGAGGCGTCTAGACTGATAAGACGGCCGGTGCTGTTAAAGGGGGAAGGCTGGTGACACTGCAGGCAGAGGTGAAGAGAAGGCTGGTGACACTGCAGGCAGAGATGAAGAGAAGGCTGGTGTCCAAACTTATTTTTACTCACTGCCGTTCGGTTATTTAACGTCTTGTCTTCTAACGGCTCTGACAACACTCATTTGGGAGAACTGTCACAAATTTGTCTTCTAATCCAGGGGTCACCAACCTTTTTGAAACAGAGAGCTACTTCACGGGCACTGAGCCATACGAAGGGCCACCAGTTTGAAACGCCCTCCTAAACTTATCTAAACTTCATGTACAATAAACAGGTTTTAAATGCTTTTTTAATGTGATTAAAGAAGAATAGCAACAGGATAAAATGTAATTTTAGACGCTGCTCACTGGTGAGTTGTGCTATTTTTAGAACAGGCCCGCGGGCAACTCGTGTGGTCCTTGGGGGCATCCTGGTGCCCGCGGGCACCATGTTGGTGACCCCTGCTTTAATCACTACCTGAGTCCGCATTTCAGTCTCAGTGTTTCACTGCAGTTTACATTACTGCTGCCTCTCTGGCATCATTTTGCTGGTGTATATTTCAGAGTTACAGACATCGCTAACATTTTATGCCTTGGTATCTTTGTTATTATGACAAAAAACATAACCAAAATTTCATTTTGTTAGTCAAATAAAGGGAGGAGTAGGCAGCAGTAGACAACTGAAACACCATTGATGGCAAACTCAGAATTTTGTTAAATTAGATACTCCCCTTCTGTCTTATTGCATTGTAACATATCAAGGCTATTATATTTTCTTTTGCAATTTTCATATTTATTTATACTCTATTGAATTTTTTGTGAATTCGGCATATAATACAGATTCTTTGTACCATATATACACGATGATGTAATTTTAAAAATACTCTTATCCATTTATCCTTCAGCCTGAACTAAGGAAATTCCTCCCTCCACCCCCAGGAAATCAATTAAGTGTTATCTTATCTCATAGAAACATAGAGAGGACAGGAAAACTCACAACCCTGGAAGTCACAGGCCTTCTGCAGTATACATCGAACAACTAGATTGCCTTATTCTACTGTATAGAGTAGTAACTCAAAAATCATTCTGTTCTAGCTGTTTGCTTTACACAATAAATTATAATGATCCATGTTTTTCATGTCTTTCTGTTAATACGTGATAATGGAAAGCATACCATTATGTTGCTCAGTGAATACGACTAGTCATTTTTTTTGCATTTTCAAAATTTGATGTCGATTCATTGTTGTTACATTTCAGTGCTAGTACTAATTCATTGTGTCTTACAGCCACTTACACTAAACCCTGTGACTTTTCTGCACAGAGATTAAGTGTGGAGATCCACCAGTGTTTCCCCAGGCTACCCACCAGTGGAATGGCAGCACAGCCGTGGGCAGCAGGGTGGAGTATTTCTGTAATGAAGGCTTATGGCCCATGGGTGGAGAACACATGTCTGTCTGTGGAGGACATGGTTCATGGACAAATGTGACTCTCCAGTGCAAAGGTAATGCATTATATTACCTTCTAGTTATTGCATTATATAGTTAATTTCCTCACACTGTATGTCTATATATTGTTATTTGATTTATTTATTGATTCAATGTTTTTGCATTTTGAAGGTCTCTCAAAAATGATACCTTTGGTTGTATGTTTCCAGTTGTCCTGAAGGAGCTCCCACATATGCTGAATACACATTGGCCAGTTTTGTATTCAGCTAAGAGTCTTTCGGTTCTTGTTGACTTTTCACTTACATAATTGACAAAATATATAATTTGGCCACGGGTGCACGAATGTTTGCATACAACTGTAGCATCTTAGCACAGGCCACAAAGCATATTTAAATCTACATCAACTGAATGTAGATATTGAAAAAAAATTTTTTCCTGCAACCCAAAGTGTATATTTTTGTTTCGGAATATGTTCAGACTACTAATTATTTTATGGAACACAGACTAAATGTAATACTCAAATTAGGAATTGGAACAAAATTAAATGAAAATGGTCCTTTATACAAAAATATTTATTGATGTAACTGCTAAAGCTCTCCAATTAGTGATATATCCCGCATTTTTGTGGGGGATCATTGCTTATTTCTTCAGGAGGCTGAGCCCGCCCCCCCCAAGGGTCAAATCATACAGTAGGTACTGCCCCTTGAGACGATTGAGTTTGCTTATTCCATCCATAAAATTGAACTTCCCCTTGTGGAGCCTGAAAAAATGATCCCCACAATGTCAAAATAACAAGTTTTTATGAAATTGTGGGGCCATTTGGGGACATGTGTGTGTGTGAGTGTGGGTCAGGATTACATTACATTGTGTGGACCACATGTCCCCACAATGTAGTGTATATCTGACCCACACATACACACAGAGCGGGAACCAGATTTGAACAACATCCTGAATGTGTGAGGCAGCCACTAAGCTACTCTGTTGCCCCTTATTTTGCTTATGCTTGATTGGTTGGTTAATTGGAATCTACAGCATGCATGTTGAAATGACCCTGCTTGGAAATTCATCATATATAACATAGTCATGAATAAGACATACTGTCAAAATCATGATGAGATGACTATATTTCTGCCATTGGCCTTATTTTAGTTTTAATTTTTCATAAAGAAAGTCTATAGTCTGTGATGACAATATGTCGCTGATTTCCTCCCCAGAGGTTGACTGTGGTGAGCCCCCCTCATTTCC